TCCCTATATAAAGAGATCTTTTAAAGAAGAGGAAAAGAAGACAGCTTTATAAAAATGTTATAGAGGCAGAACTAGAGCCTACTATAAACTAAGCCCTTTAGGATAGCAATGCCGCACTAGTGCAAAGGGAAGATATAGATACTAGGAAAAGTAAAAGGTAAAGGAAACCTGCATAAAGTCTAGACTAGGTATTTCTAACCTAGAAGAAGAAGGATAATTAGGCCTTATTTATTAAGCTCTGTATAAATAGTGTAATTACTACACCTAGAAAACTATTTAAGAAATTAGACTACATAAAGATAGACACTTTAATTACTAACAGCACTTTTAAAGTTATAGTGTATAACTTAATAAAGCATAAAGGTTAGATTTTTAACCTCTACCTTATATAAAAAGTAAAAGGCAAAATAACTTAACTATATAAAAAATTCTGCCTAGTGTTTACTAGCTACTTAGATAAAAAGAAAGAAGAAATTCTTACTTAGTTACTAACTATTTAAAGGATAAGCTAGAGACTACTTTTAGCTATAAAAGCAAGCCTAAAAGCTACATACAGAATGCATTTTAAACTGTGTAATATTACATAAGTATACATCTAATTAACAGATAAGCTTATGCGCACACTGTACATAAAGCTACTAAAAAAGATGCGCTAGAGCTTTCTACTAAATATAATACTCTAGGTTGTACAACCCTTGTATAGAGCTGCTAAATTAGGACTGTATTAGTTTAAGACATATTATAACTACTATAAAAAAAAGCTGTGTATGCACATCTTTTTATATAACTCTTGCCTCTTAATTACTAATAAAGAAGAGCACACTTTTAGTATTACTAGCCTATAGATAGATAACACTTTAAGCATTATAACAAAGAATTTTGCGTAAAGAAAAGAGAAGAAACTATAAAAGGTAAAGTTCTATGTAAAGGGCAAGACTATTTTAGCAGAGAAGCAGCTTATTAAGTTTAATAGCAGAAGGATTAAGCTTACACATAACATAGTAGTTTTTACTTAGAAGAGATAAGTAAGCTACCTTTATATAATTAACTTAAAGGATAAGGATGCTACACAATAATATATTAAGCAATGTGCAAAAGAGGCATACATTGTATCTATATGTTAACTAGAGGTAGCATTTAACCTGTCTATTGCTGCACAAACTATAGACCCTTTGCATAACAACATTAACGCACTTAACGCATAAATCTAATAGTAGATAGATAACACTTATAGCTAGAATTCTTAATTATATTAAGTAATAAGGACTGTATAGAGCAAAGCAACTGCTTTAAAATACTAGGCAACATTATACACTAGAATTCTACTAAGTGTAAAAGAGTAACTAGGAGTGTCCTTGCTAGCAAACTGTATAGAATAGTTAGAGGGTTTAATAATGTAATTACACTTAGTACAACTCTACAGCAAATTATATAAATGCTTAAACTGCTACTAATTCTAGTAGTAATCTATATAGATTTAAGGTCTTTATATAATTACTTTATTAAGCTAGGCACTACTAGTAAAAAGTAACTTATAATTAACATTATGTTACTTTATAAATTATATAAGAAAAGGGAAATTACTAAGATAAAGTAAATTAATAGTAAAGACAACCTAGCAGATGCATGTATAAAGAAAACACTAAACTAGGCTTTTTAATTATTAGTCCTAACTAACTGCCTCTCTGTCTAGATAGAAGCATCTGTGGACTAGCTAGATCCTGTGCGCAAAGATGCTTTAGACTAACTAAACTAATAACACCTTTATATAAGGCCTATTTTTTTTGTTTTTTTTTATACGCACTTATTTTTCTTATTACAAGATTAGAAAAAAAGGATATGTAAAAAAGATAGTCTATTTATCTAGTATATAGAAGAAGAAAAAGCTACTACCCCTTATGTATAGTAGTTATAATGCAGACCACAGCTCTGCTATACGCATAAAGCGCAGGCATTAGCCTAGAAGTTAGCTAACACATAACACTTAATAAAAGAAAAGGCACTAGTAGTGCTACTATAATAATAAGCATATAGAGTTACTAAGACTTAACTACAACTCTAGACTAAAACTACATAGAAGTACCTCTTATAACACACAACCTTTGCTGCCTATAGCTGCAGATTAGTGCTAGCAGGCAAGACAACATTAATATTATAGAATAGTAAAGCTGCTACATGCTACTTTTTAGCCTATCTATAATTAGCATTTTATATAAGAAGAAAGTAGAAAAGCTAAAAAATCTATATGTTTATACTAAGACACTAAATAAACTACTAATTAGTAGTAAAACTAGTTAAAAAGGTAATGTAGATGCGCCTTAGGCTACTAGACTGCATAAGGACGTTAAAGACGCCTGCACTAACAGCGCTAGAGGTAGAGGAGGAAGGCTAGAGAGACATCTCTCTCTCTGTGTGTGTGTGTGTGTGTGTGTGTGTGTGTGCAGGCAGGAGTATCTGTCACTGTTAGCACTGTACAAAAAGAGAAAAGAGCTAGGGAATAGTATAGTAGGGCTTAAAAAGTAAAGAATAAAGAAAAGAAGGTAAAGAAAAAAAAAAAACCTTATTATATATACCTTCTTACGCACCTGCCTATGCAAAGATCCCACACTATTCTAGCATAAAACTCTACATAAAATAGTTTATACACTGCTAAATTACTTATAAGGCAAGCGCATAAAGGCTAGATAATAATAGCCTAAAACACTTTATACTATTTATAAAGCTATCTATATAGCGCAACTAGCCTATCTTAATATATAGCATTACTAAGGCAAGTCTTAATAAATAGAGTAAAGTAAAGGTAAAACATAATTAGATAAACCTACATAGATAAAAGAGAGGTAACGCGTACAAAAAGTAACTCTTTAGATAAAAAGAAAAGTTACTAGTGTCTATATACAGCAGCAGCGTTGTGGCCTAGATACAAATAATTACGCACAAGCAGGATTACGTATCTATGTTACATAATGCTTGTGCGTAAACCTCTGTGCGCGAACATCTAGATATCCCCCTTTTCCTCTGTACAGAGAAAAGATAAGAGTAATAAAACTAGAAACATATTGCTTTTACCTTACCTACCTTGTACACTGTGCACACTGTACACCACTCTTACTCTTGCTACTTAAGTGCTTATACTATAAGCAGCTAGCTGTTAGAGCCTATTTAACAAGATTTCTTATATTTACTACTAGACTTTATGTTGCTTAACTAGATTTTAACTTTACTATCTAATTCCTCTAATTCTAATTAGTCTAAATCTAGCTCTGCTTCTAGCTAATTAGCCTAGGTAATTAATAGTAGAAGATTATGCTGTTTTTTAATTTTATAACTATATTTGCATAGCTAGCTAATAAAGTTCTTTATCTTGCTAATAGTATTAGTTATACCTGCTACTAGACTTTGCATAAGTTAGGAACGTCTAGCTATTAACATCTAATAGACATTAACAGTATAGTTAAGATTTATGCTAATATTACTACTAGAATTATAGTAGCTTATAGCTAGAGTTAGAAAAGCTTACTTTTACTTTTAATAGTATTTTAAAGGCTTAAGTCTTTTATCTAGGAAATTATTTCTAGAAATCTTACACTTTTTAGGTGTAGTATTAATTAATTACTAATTACTACTAGATGTATATTCTATATACTATTAGAGTTTAGTAGAGTTAGCTGTGTATCTAACGCTTATAGTTATAGAATAAACACTTAGCCTTTTTACCTCTATAATAGCAGCATACGCACAAACTCTTAAGAAAGCCTTAAATAGTAATATATATTAGGAATTTCTTACTAGATGCTGCACATTATTTATAAAAAATTTGCTTAGCCCCTACTATAAACACCTAAATAGCCTTAGCGCTTTGTAATTTATTTATGTTTAAAGACATAGTAATACTATTACTATACTTATCTACCTATAGTTAAAGGTATACTAGCTAATTTTATAAAAACTAGTGTAATTTATAGAATGTATTAAAGAATGTTTTCTTATTTTAAACAATCTAACTATTTACTACTAAGTTAGTTTAGTAGTTGTCCTAAATAACCTTTTTACTATTAACTATAATAATTCTCTGTTTTTTAGATAAATTATATTTAAATAAGGCTGTATTTTTAGATTTATAAAAAAAATTAGTTTAAGCAGGTAAAGTGTAGCTAGATTTAGTAAAAGTTTAGTGTTATATAAAATCTTCTAGTAACTGCTATTTAAATTTAGGCAGGAAAAAACTTATTAAATTCTATCTTTATATTAGGTTTTCTCTAGCTAATTAATGCAGCTTTTAGAATATAAAAGCATACTTTAATTTTTAGTTTATGCTAGTATCTAGCTAATTTTAGTAGTTCTTCTGCGCTTTACTGTTGTTGTTATTGCTATTTTTTTTAATATTTCTACTTTTACTATTACTAGCTTTATTATTACTATTACTTTTAGTAGTATTTTTTTTATTTATATTATTATTATTATTTTATAGTTTTTTATTACTTAAACTAAACTATAACAAGTAACTATTACTTAAATAGTTATTATTATTTACTACTTAGTTATTATAGACATTATCTGTGTTTATTTTATTAAGATTAGCTATTAAAGTTGCTAGTTTTAGAGGTTTCTTACTAGTAAACTTAGTGTGTGTAGATTAAAGCGCTTAAAAACATTAGCATCTAGGACAATTTTATAGTATATAGCTAGATTATTATTAGAAGTTAGTAGTTACTTTACTAGACTTAGCTTTTTTAGTTTCCTTACTATTAAGATTACTAAGGCTTAGGCAGAGAGTGTTAGGCCTGTTTACTGTCTAATGTTAGTTATATTTTATTATCTGCTAGCATTAGACTAGCTATATATACTTACTCTTACTTATTATTAACATAGAGCCCTTTGTTAAAGTTTTATAGTTAAGTAAAGAAGTAAGAGAGGCAATTAGTAGACATATATTAGATGCTGGCCTGTGCGCTAAGCGAGACGCCTGATTATGTCATCCAAGCTTCCGAAAAGGAAGGCTAATACCTGCTCGTCACACCCCAGCTCCAATCTGAATCCTTCCACAGCTCTGTGGCCTTTGGGAAGTGACTTCTTCCTTCGTGGGAGTCATGAGGCTGAAAAATAACTACGAAGAGACCCGCAAAAATCATAAATATTACTAGGCCGACTTTAATCCATCCTAGGATATTTTGGATGCGTATTCCGAGCTTGAGGAAACATCCATGGATGATGGTTATGGCCGTGAGGAGACTAACGGCAAGCGATTTTCGAACAAGATCGCTAGCTTCGATGTCGAAAGCGAAAAGAGTGTATTGGCTAAAGACAATACAATTGCTGGCGGTAAACCCTAAGAGTACTGCTTGGACTGCCACAAGCGTTGATGCTAGAAACCGAGGTTTCCTATACGTATATTCGAGATAGACCTTGCCTGTGTTAGCAAACGCGCTCTGGTGATGCTTTCAAGCCTACCTTTTCTCCTCCAGATCGCGGCAAAGCACACCCGTATTCCAAAGAAACTGCAAGCCCGCAAGCAGCGATTATAGCACCCACAATCCAAAGAGAAAGACTCAATCCCACGCTCCGAACTGATTTAACTATTGCTCCAGGCGTCGCAAAGATGCCGCTTCCAATGACGCGTGAAATCACCAGAATGTAGGCGGATCGCCAACCGAGTGTTCGGCCTATTATTGACGTCTCGGGTAAGACGTCATCTTCGATCGAGCGATTTATCTCGGTGGCTGTGGTGCTTGATTCTTCATCGTCTCCGAATAAAGTTTTGGCGCTCCCTGACGAGGATTCTGATCGAGACAGGAGAGGTCGCTCCTCGTCCGATGACGAAGCCATATTGCGCAAACGCTCTTCCCCACAAGGAACGTCGCGCTCCAGATACTCTTGAATAGAATCAAAGAAGCTCATAAAGGAAAGGGAAGTCGTGTCTTCTCTACACTCCCTAGCTTCTGGTTGTGGGCAACACTCATATCGAACGGACTGGCAAGAAATGTCGCTGGACAATTGTCAGCAGGTCACCTCATTCCAGCAATGGATGTCGTGGAGTTAGGGCCCCAATAGAAGGAAGACAGAGGCGTCTATATATGAATATTTGATTGGTGCCCTGACAACTGTGTGACAGTTCCAAATAGCACGCCATCCATAGCACGATTGACGAAAGGATCTACAAGACTAAATGAGGGACATGCAAGACATAAAATTTGAACCTGAAGCGAGTCGCACTAACTCCAGATGGGAATATAAGCCAAGGGATTTTAAAAAGGAGCCATTGAGCTGGCAATGAGAAGTGCCGGAGAATGCATGTAATTATCACGTGATTTGTATGAGACCCTGAATGTCGATACTTTGAAGCCTGAGAAGCTTCGTCAATTAATAAGCTAAGAATATTACTAATACAGGAGAAATACATAGCAGTAGATTTGGATGCGAGACGATGAGATACTGAAAATGATGCTGCCAAAATTGCGGGAGAGATGCATACGCGATTGGGGTATTGCAACCGTTACCAGGCCGTTGCCAAGTGTAATGTACACAATCCAGCCCAATTGAGCCGGAGAATATCATCAGAAACACACAAGAACTAAAGATTTACACGCGTAGCAAAATAAAATAATAATAGCAAGATATAGCTGGAGATGCTGAGGTATGGCAATGGATGACGGCAATAGAATCACAAGCAAGCGCCATTCATAAAGTAGTGTTCATTCTCGATGGGAACTCCTGCATGGGTGGTATTAAAACATTCTCACTCCATACCAAAGATCGTTGATTTCCGCCCCAGTCTTCGTGTTCGTCTTCAGATGAAGATATGTCGATTAATTTTTGAGGGGAGGATACCCAAAGTCCTAAAGTTGTCAATTTCTCTTGGAGGATTCTGATGACTGCTGGATTGCCGCCTCTGAAAGAGGCAAGGAGAGAAGACAGTGAGTGAATTAGGTCTCTTGGACCGATCCAAAAATGCGATTCGTGATTAATGGCAGGCACACAGATCATAACATCGGCGAGCGAATTAGCGATGTCAAAAAGTTTGGTTTCCTACAAATGTTTTAGCATATATAGCGTTATGTGAGAGCGGGATCACTCACCATCCCCGGCCCATGAGCTTCTAGGCTTTCTCTTGACAGACTGCTCATATATCTAAGAACATTCTGCGCGACCTTTGCCGGAAACGAGAAGGAGAATTCATCATTCTCATTCGTGGACCTTAGATTAGTCACACTTAAGGCATGTTGCCACAGGAAAACTCGCATCCATTGCTGTGTGATCGAAATATCTGCACGCTGGATTTCATTGTTCAAACTCTGTGATGCAACATCATCGTTAAGTTGTTGTTGTGCCAATGCAAGAGCTTGTCTTGCGCCGGAAGGACCTGCGGTAATACTTCACTATGAGTCAGCTTTCGAAGGTGTGGAACACGTTTTGAAACGCACGTCATGTCGAGGATGTTGAAGAGACGGCAGAGCTGAACGAACGCGGGAGTCACGGTACCATCCTTCAAATCTTCTAATGGAGGTAGGTCAGGCGCTCGTCTTAACATGATGGGCATGTCATGTTGGATGGAGTGTGCCCTGATCTGTTGTTAGCAGGTGCCGGTCTTCTAGGGTCAATTTGGTACCTTTCTGTTATGAACAAGAGCCAATATATCCTCAAGTTATGTTGCTGTTGTTCAACGTCTATTGGCTGATAGTACGAAAGCTGATGCAGCCCAATCATGTGCGCCTTTGTGATAGCTTCGCCAAGAAAGACTGTCGATGCAGACATTCGCCCAATGTTCGCGGAGTACACGTGGAGGAAAAAGCTGCTTAACAACGACCATATTGTCACATGTTCCATATGGTCAAAGGCCTTCCGCGCACGCTTCGCTTCCATTTCAAAGAGTCCGCTGGAAATTCGGTAATGCCCTTCGACTGCACTCCCAGATTCAGCATCGATCTGGAACTGGCTGATGGTGGCAGCGCATACAGCCATAGAGAGACCATATGCTTCCATATCTTCTTGGTGAGTCAGAATTCGAGCCAAGAGTGCTTCTGTGTCTACAACTGGCCATATAGCATAACCTCTGGTTTGGTAGATGTCGAGGTAATGCCCTACTGAAGAAATGGATATCCTCTCGGGTTCCCTCTGGGCACCGGGAAATGTTGGACTTGCTATGGTATCTGGCCAGTCGATACCATTCAACCTCGCATCATAATCCGGATCACTTGTCGGCGGTAACGAATCCAAAAGAGGAAAATCAATTATGCTTGGGCTTCCATCGTCAATACTTGCTTCGCTCTCGCTCCTTGACCGGCCTATATCTGACCTATTGCGTTCCTGAAGCCTTCGAATTGCAGCTTCAGTCGTTCGCCGCGGTCCCTTTGGTCCAGATTTTCCGTGCGTCTTGAGATACGTGCACTCCCAAGATGCTGCTATACACCGTGAACATGGGTGATCGCCGTTGCACCTGACCTTGCGAACAGAGCAAGGATCACAAGCCCTCCGGGTACCTTTCCGCGGTGCCATCTTCTAGGCTGAATACCGCTCTGTGCGAGTCTCGAAGCAAGTGCTTGGAAAGCACTTAGCGTAGTGGAAACCGTTAATCCGTCATGGCACATCAACAACAGCGCAGGGAACAGCCAGCCAGGTTGCGACGGGTAGAGAGTAAACCGGAGCAGAGAATCAGGAATTTAGGAGTGTGCTGCAAACTGATGTTGTCAAGACAAGGTTCAGTGGAAAATGTGACGTTGAGGGGTGAAAAGTGGGGATCGGCTCCACTTCGGGACGCCCCTTCCCACTTTGAGTGGGTCTACCTGCGTCCACTAGGGTGGGCATGAGATGTAAGTGGTGGGTCTGCATTCGGGATACCTAAGGCTTGCTTGTTCGCCATGATATCTACTAGTTACCTTGTTTGGTCGTCTGTCTTCACATAAAGCCTTCAATGGAATTGATTTCTCTTGATAATTCATTGGCCTGGGTCTCTGCACAATTTTCACTCGTATGTGGGCCGTTTTCGGGAGGTTGCATCCAGGAAAGGGAGCTAGGATCTAATGCCAATTATACAGTCACCACACACCATTATCAAGCGCGATATAACGCCTTATCTCCGTTATTAAACTCTTCGCCCCGTATTCCCTCCTCTACACATCCTGGAGTTCTCATGCCCTTGGATCGTAGTAGATTGGCATCTGAATTCGAGCCATTTCTAGTGGCGCTCGGTGAATGACTGATAGCGATTCTAAGACGAATGAACATAGTACCACCTACATGCTCCTATATCCAGGATAGACGTGAGGATCTTTTGTAAATAATCTAGATGCCATTATCTTGGTTATGCCGAGCTGCGATGTTCTGATGATCATGGGACTTTGCATGTTTTCGGAAGCAGTCGCTATGTTCAAACAGTCACAGCTTTAGTTTTCAACAACCACCTAAGCTACTCCTGGTGAGGAATACCCTCTTATTTTAATTTTGGCTTGATTTTGCTTCCTACTATCTTGTATTCTAGGAGTCTTCGGGGACGTTCTACCCTGCTATATGCTACTCCTACAACTTGAATAAAGCTTGATTATGAGAGAAGAATGGGTGCCGTAATTAGAGAACCACACCGGCGTTTACGACATACAAACCATCTTTCCAAGGTAGTGAGGGTAGGAAGTTTCCAGCCATTGCTCAGAGAGCATCGGGTGAAATTCTCGCCGTTACATCGTGAGCTTGGCATTGATAGCCCAAAATCATCGCATGTATATCATAGGAAAGTGAACTATAATAATTACACTGCTGTAGAGCTCCGTTTGGAACTTCTAGCTTTTGGAAGCTTTCCTCATAAGTCGCTTTCTCCACCCTCGCCACACATTCCCTCCGTTAGCTTCGCTCCGGAAATCTTGATCTAAAGTAGGTTGCTAAATAGCCCAGAGACACTTTGAAGGAAAAGATCAGCTGATAGCCTTCCTCAAATTTACACAAGATCCCGTCGCCATGTCTAAGGCGACACCAACTCTGGTGGAAGATATCTGGGCTACACTCGAGGAAAGCGAGGCATGCCTTTTTACTGAATTTTCTGAGACAAATAAGACCATTGCTGAGAACATGAAGGTCAACGTCTAGAACGAGAGGGTTATCGCTAAAAGAGATGATTTCGTCACTGAGAAGGGTAGACTCATTGCAAAACAACAAGATTATCTAAGATATAAACAAGGTGGAAGAGCTTGTAAGGACGTCGAAGGCGCTGTAGCCTAAGAGTTTGGATAAGAGTGAACAGGTCGGTCTACAGGAGGAGCAAGAGATTAAGAAGTATATCCTGGAGCATTTCTAAGAATTCATGAGACGTGAAATGGGGTTTGATTGCTGAATCTGCGGGCTTTGTCACTTCGTGCACTGGTATGCTTCGACTCAGTGAATGAGTATCTCCAAATCACGTGAGTGATCGGCAGTGTGTCAAAAAGGCCTATCAATTTGAAGGCAAATTTCATCAAGGCCCTATATCTCGTCAAACTCAGTTCCTATGACATTACCTAGCGCCTTGTTAGCAATATTTATCGTACCCCAAAACCCATGGTGACCAATAACTGACACGTGGGCCAACCTCAGATTACTCATGCAGCTTTCGTAACGCCCCACTCTCAATTAATAGCGTTAGTCACCGCTAATTGCTTTGCAGTTACTCCCTAAACAGAGATCTTGTAGATACGGAAGACGAGAAAATTTCTCTACTAGTAATAGCGTCGAAGTAAGGGGACTCGCCGATAAACCAGCGAGGGTAGCTTGGCAGACCTCTAATTTGGGAGAGTTTTCGGAGGCTTGAGAGCTTTATCTAGGATTTTGCTAGATTCGAGAAGCTACAGCGCTGAGACATGGCAATGGACTTCCTGCCCCGACTTGGTACTATCTATGATTCTTTTTTCCAAAAAATGCAGTACTTGGTGAATGAATACCACTACTTAAACCTTTCACAGAGATAATTTTTGCAGTAGTCATGTATGCCTCACAAAATAGTCACCTATTGCTAAGACTTACCCCTTTTCTTGAATATATATAGACCTCTAGGTACCCTCCTTTAGCAATCAATCCAATCCCTCATGATTCCTGTGATCCTCCTACCCCAAAAGCTTCACAGATAACTATGGAAAGTTTGACGCTGGTGGCTTGGTATAGGTATCTATTTCACGCAATGAATAGTCTCTATCAGATCTGCACTTTTCGAATGTAAGCATTTTGCTGAAGCGGACTGTACCACCAACATGATCCGGAAGGAGTAAGTGAAGCGCGGTGGGTTTACCTGTAGCCTTAAGCCGTCTAATCTAGGAGTACAATAATAATCTAATAAAGATCTTTTGGACCGTACTAGGACCATTCCTCTCTTTCCGATATCAAAATGCCGGCGTCATGTTCGCGCGAGTTTCCTGACCATTCCGAATCCCCTTTCGCCACTCCATTCATAACATTGTACCTAGCATTGCATGTACTAAAATATAACTTGGAATACTGAAAATGCCCCTTAAAGCTTCGGTAATTTTTGGCCTAAAGTTATAGAGCTTTCAATGTTCAGAGCCCATGTTAGTCGATTTCAGCAAGTGATGATTGATACAGAGTACTTACTCTTGAGAAACCCTTCTATCTGAAAGGGGATTTGCTGCCAAGTATCGCGGATGAGCCTAGGTAGATGTGAATTATGCGGGCGTGACTGCCTTCGATGATTGATTTCGTTGTCTTTCGTGTGCAAATCTTCTCCGGTGTTCCGCTGACCGTAGTGGAAATAATTGCGTCGGCCATCACTCCCTATAAAAACGGCACGGATCAAAATGCACCAAACGTCGAGAAGATATTAATTGAAGCAATTGTTCAGAATATCACAAATCGTAGGAATTCTATGAGTGAGCTCATTAGTCTTCATTCCAAAGCACATGTTCTCCTAGAAACAAAGTTTGATGTCCTTAGGCATTCCTCGAAACCCGAGTCTACCTCCAGAATGTGGAAAGGTGATTGACAAGTACAAAGAAATGTGGCTATCATTCAGCGGTGTAAGTTGGTGCGCAATTGCAATGGTGAATACGCCTAAGATGAGGGTTGCTGGATCTCTCGTTACTGAGCTGTTGCTCCTGACCATTAACTTAAGGAGGACGACTCTTTCTGGTCTAGTGAGGAACAATTCACGGAGCTGGAGGTCATGCAGCAGCTGAAAGTACTAACTTCAGCTCCTGTATTTATATATTCACTGCCAAAGGCTTGGAGATATGCATAGACCAAGGGAATAATTGGCGCAGTTGTCACTAACGAAAAGGCTACGTCGGTGGGAACATGTTGCGGGGGTCATGGATAGATGACACCATAAGAGCTGCAGTTGCGACATCACTTCTGTCCTCCAGCGGAGTTTCACAGACGACCTGAACCTAACCTAAATATCTACCAGGGAAATTTAGTCCTTAAGAATGGAGTTGTCTGATTGCTGCTTCTATATAGATTGGGAGGAAGGACTGCTGCTTAATGTCTGGGGTGTCAGCCCGGGTGTCAGTAAGCCAACGTTGCTATGAGATTCCTAGCCTTGTAGGAAGCAGCATCTCGTCCCTGCCTCTCTCTTATTCTTATCATTGTTTTCGAAGGTATGGGCCGGCTTGTGAAAGAAAGTCTCCGACCTAAGGATTGTCAAAAGGTGAGTTCCAAGCGAATATTTTGCATTAGGCTTACCTTATGAAAACATGTAGTATTCGCTTTCGCATCCCTGACAGACTCGCCAACTGTATAATCGTACGCCTGTCCCGTATGTCGATCGCTGGCAGGGACCTTTAAGGTATCGATGGCCCGTCTCTCTGTTTTAGGTAAAGTGGCTACATACGCTAGGAACTCGTCTATTGCATCACGACTTGGTCCGGCGTCATCGCTCTGGTCTAGGACCATAATACGCCCAAGCTTCACAATCCAGTCAATAGTTGCTGGGCGAAACCCTTTGCGCATATGGTGTTGTGCTTCTTGCATCGGCCGCAATGGCTGTCCGAGGCGATGAGCGAGGATGGATTGAATATCAGACTCAGAGAATAGGTGCTTGCTGAGTGGATTCCGCATTACGCCCGAATTGGAAGAAAGCGCTTGAACTAGCTCTTCTATGTCCCATGCATAGTTATCCTCGGTCACGAAAAAGTTCTCTCTCGGAATGCTGGAGATGGGCTCTTGAGTGATCATGGTCGTCGAGTTGACATATTTCTTTTGCAAGAGCTCTCTTTCCGCTGTTACAAACGCGGCTGATATGGCCTCGGACATTGACACAGGGAGGGCGGCCTCTATCAACGTCTTTCTCTTTACTAGTCTGCTGCGTATCGTGTCTGTGTCCGGGGGCGGGGTTTGAATCTTCATCCAATATGCCAACATCTCGAAATCTTCGATCAGCATTTCCCGAGCCCTGGATTGATTCGCGCTGATATTTCTTGCTGCTTCACGAGCGGACATGGGCTCAGCAAGGGGCACCGCACTGCTCACGCGACCGCTTGCAATGAGCTTAAGGTTCTTCAGCATCTCAACTTGTTCGGGCGTGCTCGTTGCAATCGGATTTAGTTCTTCGAAAAGTATAGATGCTTCTTGCTTCAACGACGTGTATCCATCTTCGAGTTCCTTCTCCATGAGTGCCCATTGCTCAGTGGTGTAGCAAGAAGGTGCCGGTAGACGTTTTGCTTGAGCACGAGGTTCATCGGTTGTAGTTTTGTATCTGGATTTTAGATATCTCTTCGCATGTTCGTTGTAGGCGTCGAGTTGCAGAAGATTTGTCGCAATGCCAAGCGCCATATCATTAGCTTCGAGGTCGATCCATGCTTCGAGGAGCCTTTCGTGGACATTGATATTGGATGGATCGATTTCGAGGGTGTTGTATAGATCGACTAGGACGTGGGTTTCGGAACTCATGATTGACGATAAAGGCTCAAAGACCGAAACCCTGCTTCATCTCCCCAACATTCACGGTCATGCAGACCCAAGACATCAAGCAGTGCAGGCTGACCAAGCTAGACGCTGTAAAATACGTCGAGCTTGTGTTCAAATACGATACTGCGCTAAGAGGGCGCTATGGATGCAGGGAACATCAGGTGGACATCATGTGGCTTGCTCGCCGAATGCTGCCTATTCCATCCATCGATGCTCCCTAACTATTACCGAATCCGGTGAAGAAGGCAACTGGAATTTTGCAGTCTCTGTTTGGTTGTCGTATCGACTTGCAGATTCCGGCGATCGTCTCGCCAGACACAGTGTATGACGTTTCGTCGTGAGCCCTGCCGGGGCTGAGGCTCGCCTATCAAATGCCGCTATAAAGCACGCTTCTACATTCGCACCCAACGAGCGTTTCCACTTTTGTCATTCCGCATTGAATTTGTTTCCTATTTACGCCTCCGCTTCTGACACTGCCACCCGGCATGCATCTCCATCACAACCTGGGAGGGAGAAGCTCCGGTCGTTTCCGTGATATCTCTCCCCACGCAAACGTTTCCTACAGCCTTCACCTTCTCAAATCTGCCTTGCCACGTATCTGCATTTTTTAACTTCTCCAAAGAATTACGTATAAGCCCTCCTTGCTGGAGCACGCACGTGACTTTCCTTGCTTTCAAGTGCCTGGGTGGGTTGGTATCATGTGAGAGTCTTGGGAATCTTAGGAATGTCGCAGGAAAATAGCTCGTCAGTGCTTATGAAACTCCACTTCTGTAAATTCACAAGCTTCATGGAGCAGTAAACACTATGAAGTGGCCACCTTCGCGGCTCTTCAACTCAAGATCCAAGCACACTCCTGTCCCTCCGGTTACAGTTTCGGCTCAAGTTCTGGACTTAAATTCTTCACCACCTCAGAGAGCGCCAGATTCAGTTCATCGCGCGAACTGGCATCGAGAAGTCAAAGCATGTCGCCCATTGCACGAATATCTGGCCACAGGCCAGAACCTCGACATCTTGTCCTCTTTAGAAATGGTTAAAACCATCACACGCGACTACCTTTATCAACAGGAAAGCGTCGCCCTTCAATCCCCGGAGTGTGATGCGCTATTGAATCTTTTGATCCGGGAGCACGCCTTTGCCGATCATTCACAGAGAGATATTGCCGTGGCATCATGCCTCCATGTGCTCTCTATTTCAGCAGCCCATAGACACTTTACCTATTGCCTCCAAAACAATGTGCAGAGATACATCAGGCTCCTAGTCCTAGCTCAACGGATCAATACCGACTTCCTGCCACCCGATACGATATCTTTTGTTCAATCTTTAAGCTGGTTGACATCTGGAAATGGGTCCCCTTTAGAAGATCTCCAGAATTTCCGCCAAGTTATCGAGAAAATAGGAACGACGGATGTTTGGGAGTTGACACCAGTTACAATGGTTCAAAAACTTCTGACGAACACAGACTGCAGCTCTCGAATACAAGGCCATGTCCAAGATCTCCTCCAAAGTCATCGTTACCTCAGCGCAATCAAAGCTCTAGCTTGGCTGAAGTCCGTTCAAAGCTTTCCTAATAACCAGGACGCCGGTGCTATGCTGGACGAAGTTCTCCCTGGCTGGCATTACCTCCGCTTGTGGGAGCCAAAGATATCCCGCATTACTCAGTTCGAACAAGGCAATTTCAGCGAACAGCAGAGCCAAAAACTTGTTCATATCCTTACCCTAGAAGGACCAGATACAATTACATGGCAAAAGCCGTCTCTTGCCAAGGTCGATCTGGGACACCGCCAGAATCCAGCTTGTCGATTAAGCTCAACAGAAGCTGAATGTATTCTGGATCTCCTTTACAGTTGCCAGCGCTTGGGCACAAATGCGATTGATCTATTCATCTGCCTCTGTGTGGATGACACCCTCGAAGAATATGAATTTGGCCCGGACTTTGTGAAGGATGCAATCGCAATTGGAGACGATATTTGCTGCCTCAATGCCCGAATTCTTATAGAGGGGGCACAAGATGGGGTCACTGTGAGCCAGCGGTTGAGCAGTTTCACAAAAGCGTTGCCTGCCGTGAAGAGCCTCGGCCCTCACTGGTTTGATCGGCCGCCTTTGATCCAAGCATTCGGCAGGGTTGAAACTACGATGTCGAAAGCGCAGGAAGCCTTCCACAAATCTTTGGAAACTGGATCGGGAAGACATATGGGAATGCTAATCCACGGCTATGGAGACGCTATTCTGAAGGCACCTTTCGTCCACGTGACCTTATCTGGTCAGTTTCTCTCAAAGCTACGGCAATTTCCTACCCGCGACACTCTCATGGCTGTTTTCGAACGCATTAGAAAGAGCTCTAGTCAGATTCCAATCGAAAATTGCCGGTTCAAGTCATACTTAGCATCAGCATTGGGGGGAAGACTATTGGTTTTAGACCATTCTATTACTATGGCGGCTATACAAAACGAGATAAAGTTCTGGAAACATCCACCCGACACAGCGAGAAAGGATCTAGCACGTGCTCTAGAGAAGGTTAAAACCGTGCGTTACTCCCTTTACACGTCCTGGCTTCTAGTCATTCTGCGCGAGGACGATCAATTTATAGGCGAAGTGAAGCATATCATGATGGGTGAAATGGAGCAACGCGTTTTGCGGCTGGCAAACTACTTAGCCATTCGGCGAAAATTCAATCAAATGCGGGACGAAACATGGCTTCTTCTCTTTGCTTCTCTCATCGAGGATCGAGGGCCGACTTACCTACAGAAAATGGCCGATTCAATGCCGGTGACGGGCTTCGAAGAGCTGATCTCTAACCTGTCCAAACTTGTGGAGTCAGTTCGCGGAAGCCTTCCTCAATTTGGAGCAGGGCTGACCCAGGAGCAGCTTGACTGGTGGGAGACGTTATCTCAAAGAAGAGATGCCCTTCAAACGCTTTTCGGAAACCGAGGCCAAACGATGAATCCAAAGTGGTTATACTTTCCGCCTTCTCCACGCAAGATAATTGGACTACTAGACGCTCTAGGAGCTGCCAATACATCCCATTCTATCTATACTCAAGTGTTACCGTTCCTCTCGCAAAACGGAGATAATATCCTGGACTTGTGCGATTGCATAGAATCACTCAAGACGACATCCGCTTTCGGTCAGGACATATTTAAACGCCAAATCACGCGGTACCAAAATAAGGGAGACAAGAAATTGCCCGGAGGCATTCTTAAGGCCATCATTCAAATATGGACTCGAGAAGGTAGTCAACTTACTTCTCCCGACCGACTCGCTTTGGCCTTCCTTGAGAAGCTGCTACAGTTGCCAACCTCGTTCCCACCTTCAGCCCTACACACGCTGAGACAACTCTTTGAGGCAGACCACAATGAATTGATGGAACGAGCAAGGAGCCTGGAAAAATTGCGCTTGCAGTTACATCAGTCCAATTCAAATCGGGTTGCCGCCATCCTCAGGCGCCTTCAGATAGAAAACACCAGCCCTGGTCGTGCAACGCAGGGAAATATCCCAGAAGAGATTGCAGATGCTGTGGAGGCTATTGGTGAGGAAGAGTACGAGATTTCGTTCCCACTTACAGGGCTCAATGATGTTCAACGCGCTGCTAAAGGGATATCACCAAATTCTCGTCTTTTGCTTGTTCGACTCTCGATTAGAAGCGGTACTAGAGCCAATGGACCAACCTTTTGCATTCACTTTTCACCTAATGAAGAAGGTGGACACACACATGGCCCTTGGGCCATCAAAGACGCGACGTTGCCCAACGGCGCGATATGCACGACTCGCCCAACGCTTTTTACATATCATCTGGGCCGAATCATCCATAAAATGCTGTCAACATCACCAATTCGCCTTCCAGCTATCTACTCTTGCGTAGCAAGTCTAGTCTCTTCTGCGCCAGACACATGTCTGGTATGCACGCAAGGCATGGGTATTCGGCTCTGGAAGCCATCCGCTTGTTCTCGAAATTGCTCTCTCGTGCTCCGAGCTGCACCATTGGAGGTCCGACTTCATAACATGTTAATCAACCCAAAAGCGATCGACCTCCTCCTCACCTCCATCTATGCAGCTTCATCAGAGTCCCAGTCGATGCAATTGCTTCCCTACTGCCCCGTGGCGCTCCCGAGTATCAAGGCCGTTATTGACTCCATGCCAATGTTAGACGGCCTACAGACGGCAAGCGATCTACGTACAGCTATACGGGGAAGTGATACTTATGGTAAAAATAGGGAGGACCTTCTATCTTGGCTTTGTATGAGATTCAGGGGATTCATGCTGTCCGTTCCAGATGGGTTCAAGGTTCCCAGCCTCGGGGTAAACACTGAGCAATTCCTAATCGTGAATTCCAATCACGAAAGGGAAAAGGGATTTAATGCACATTACACATCTGGCGGAGGAAGTACAGTCGTATTCCATGGTACACGCGCTTCGAGATTATTCCCTATCCTAATCGACGGCCTTCGGATCGCTAGAAATGGAAATCTGAGGCTTAATGGTGCTGCTTACGGCGAAGGAATTTACTGTGGAAACGACATGCAAACATCATGGGGTTTCTCTGGTACCACAGGACAAAGCTGGCGCAATAGCACGCTCAAGAATATGAACGTCATGCTGGGGTGTGAGTTAGCGCCCGCAACTCCAGGCACGCATGGCAGCATTCACGTCGTCACAGATGAGAATCGCCTGTTGGGGCGATATGTGTTTCTATTGCCACAGACATTTCGGCCTCCGATTCGCAGTCATGTCGAGCCTGCGATGATGACGGGTTTTGCAAAGTTGAGGTCGGGACTACAGGCATAGGGTGCCATTTATTTAGGAACCGGGGATCTTTTTATATCTATTTGTACCTTCTGTAAACATAAATATATTTCCTGCATATTTACAAGAGCCCAGTTGTCAATTCTAGCGGAAGTTCCACCAGACTATATGCTAGCTTGACTTCGATGTAGTGATGTGCAATAGGTCCGAGTTGCGGCAACTGGTTATCGATAGGCTCTATTCAAACATGAAATCTGAAAATATACCCCGAAGTTGCTTGTTTTCCCTTTCAAAGAATTCACCGAAATACGAGCAATTCCCTGCTTCGCCTGTAATTATTATAAACTAATGCAAAGGGAAGCTTACATGGCCTTCATGGGATGACCAGTGCTCCTTTGTTGCAACAACCGGAAATTCTTCTAATGGGGTGATGTTGGAAACGTCTTTGAAGAGTTTTCTTACTGCCCTTTTTCTACAGCAGTAAGGTTACGCTTTAGGACCGGAGGATCTCCTACGTTTGTTGTTCTAGGCTCAATATAAATCAGGTCTTGCGAAAGTTTCTCTAGTAGTACAGGAGAAATGAGCTCTGAATAGAAGGATGTCTTGATATGGCGCTATCATTTACGCGTGCGGTATCCTGGGCCACGAATGGGGTATTGAAGAGTTGGCAGCTTACGAATCCGGTCCATTCCACTTGTAAATTGGCTCCCAGCCTTTATAGATGGCCCGAAGCCTTTTCACTTCATTCTTGACTTGAAACCCTTGCTGCGCTTGTTCTACCTCATCAAGTATTGTTGTGATCTGAGGAGCGGTTTTCTTTTCATGATCCGTCAACTCATTGATTCTTCTCAAAACGAAGTCTCTCACAAAATTAATGGCCTCTGTTTCTTCTTGAACCAACGGGTCCACATCCTCCCCACATGGAATAGCTTTTAGTATTGTAGCCGCAAAGGACACACTAAAGAGATGATAAGTAACATTCCTTGCTCGAAGGATATCTTGGAGATGCCTGGGATGCCTATCCAGCTGGCCGACGATTACGACTTCGCAAAACGAGCGAATCAACAGTGCTACATACGCTAGCACTAACCATTCTTGTTCCTGGATATTTTAGTTAGTATACGGTTTAGTTAATTGCAATGGCAGCTCACTTGTTTGTAAGGTCGTTCATGCCTAGGTTTGCGTTCATTCGCATCAATCGCAGACCCCATTGCCCCAAACGATACTACGAACTGAAATGCAGTAAAAGCGATTTCAAAGCCGTTCTTTGCCTTCGCGATGCTGTTGATAACGTGCAGGTCGGCGAAATACAACCATGAAATCGCCAAGGCAAATCTTAAGCACACGTGATATATGCCGATGAACCATAGCGGGCAAACCAGCATCCAAAGAGCTCGATGTTCACTCTTTCCCCGCAATATGTGGTATCGAATAACGATCTTTAATGCACCCCAGAGAACGAAGATATCCGATATTACTCGAATAATGCTGAAAAAGCAGTCGGACAGAATATACGCGTAGGTTACGACTGCATTAGCCTGGCGTACAACCATGTCAATCCAATTGAGGATACACCAACTGCAATGTGTCAACAAAATCAATGAAAGGGGATTTGGAAGAATCTACCATGAGAGCAGAATCATTCCACAGTGCAACGTCTTAGCATGTGCCCAAGCCTTGGATCTTCTTAGAATCGCAAAAAAAGTGCATACAATGATGAATGCTGTAGCTAGAGCATCGAACACCAGTACTCCAACCCCGAAACCAAAGGTTTTCGAGGGGAGTGAATGAAGTCCTCTCATGACTTGATGTGCTTTCAGGAAATTTCTAGACCGAAAGGCGAGGCTAGTCACAATACTTCGAATCTCACACTCGACAGGGCGTCCGCATGGGTTGGTCCTCAGTTCAGAGAGGTGCGGGGACATCAAAGACCCCGAAACCCCACACGCGCTCAAGGCTGAAGCCTTGCAAACTGCGAGCCTCATTGCAAGGCAAACATCCGGTGAGTCGAAACGCGTTATCAACGCCTCATGCATGTTCGTGTCACCCTGCATTTCAGCTCGCTTGTGGCGCACAACCGAAGACTGCTTGCAGGGTTACCACGTCACAAAATGCGTTGACAGTCGTTTCCTGATCCGAGCGATGAATTTATGCATTAAAAAGTTATCAGGTAACAGTAATTAGGTTTGTGGGTTGCTCCCCCAAGATCATTTGTTCAATATAGGCCCGAGTTGTTTTGGGCAGATATTTATGGAACCATGTGAAGCATCCATAAAAAAAAATCAAGTTCCTTTAAGAGTTTGAGGCATGTAGAAAGACCTATATTCTAAGATTAAGTCTCGATCTCTGAGTCTCCGAATATTTCCCAATCCTGCCGTGCGACTTGTGAGAGTGAGGAATAGTCTACCTGTCGGGACTTCCTTTGCAGTGCACGATAGTCTGCCTAGAAACACCATTTTCCTTGCCGGGGGTGAATTTGAGAAGCCCTGGGGCAGGATCTCCACTCCAGGCATGATCAGGGCTCAGCAAAAGCAATTTCGATGAATGAATACCAAACTGCAGAGCAATTTCCTCCGCTTGCCTTGTGGTTTGTCGTATCTCTTCCTCCACATCGGGTTTCACGATATTCTGGGACAATGCGGCGACCGCCGATAAGTAGTTCACAATCTGGGCTTTCGATGTTTCCCTATTCTTAGCCATCAGCTTGTACGTAGTGCTGTGCGAGTCCCCAGTATCCTCGTTTCCAATGTGACTGACACCTTGGAAAGTTGTCGTACGCCAACGGTTTGCAAGGCGGTCGACCTCGAAAATGTTGAGATCAGAGCTACCAATCGGATCTAGCAAGTGATTTAGAACGGCCGCCGTGAAGAAGGGAATCTCTGGATCTTACCTGAATTTTCGCCACCTTGACATAATCTCCTCCAGTTATTGAAGGCAGCTAGGAGTTCTTCGTGCACATTGCCAGGACCAAATGCCCCGAATCCAAAAGGCATACCAAAAAAATGGTCTTGTAGGATACCCCAGATGACGCTCTTCACAAGATAGTGGCCCTTCCCTCTCTTATTTCTCTGAAAGAATCCGTTCGGGTCCAAGTCTGAGTCAATGTTGGCATCTGCTGGGAACCTAAACTCTTGCCGTTGTGGTGAAGCTATGGAATCCACGAGGCGATGCATCTCAAGAAACCTAGCCTTTAATTTATCGTCAGGCCACTCCTGGCTATCATCTTGGTTCACGAGCAGCTGCCCGATGAGCCTGTCTCGCTCGGCTTCGTGACGTTCTCTCATTGTTGTCGTTTCCGCCTTATGATCGGACAGTAAAGTCTGAGTCTCCACCGTGTAGTTATTCTGCATATTGTCAACTTCTCTTTTGTGCTCCCTCATCAAGCGCTTGATGGCTTGTTCATTCTGCTGTTTTTGACTTTCAAATGCGGTCTCCCATGCAATCCTCTGGTCTCGCATCTTAGTTTCTAGATCGCCCATGCTTGTCGAATGTTGCAAAGTCAGGGTCTCGATCTCGTCCTGATGGTTTCGTTTTATGCTATGCAACTCAGAAAGCGCTTTGGAATGTTTTCCTTCCAGCTCAGCTTTCGCCTTTAAAAGTCCCTGGCGGTTCTTCTCCATTCTTTTGTATGCATCAACTTGCTCGTTGTACGCCTGAGTTTGCTCGGTAAGTTTCTGTTCCGTTTTTCGCTGCTTTGCGCGGACTCGTAACGCCCAATCGAATAGAGCCTGTAGGGGCTCCTCTTTGCTCCAGAATCCCCTTGAGCTGGATTCGCCAACCCCATCGAGAAACTGCTCGATGCGCGTGTCGTATTCCTTTCGCACATCGGATACAGAGACAGGCGGCAGATTGGCCTTTGTGCTTCGACCGAAAACCATGACAAATGAGTTGAGGGACAGTATTTTCTTGATACCTTCGTTGATGAATTCGAGATTCAGGGTGGGTCTAAAAATTAGCTCAAGGTCGGAGATTCGGGATCTGTCCTCAGACGAGACACCGAAATCTGCCTTGTGACAGAATTCTGCTTTTCTATATGCCCAGTCACACAACTGATAAGATTGGCGCATTTTACGTGGAGAGGTCGCTCACGCGCTATTATTGAGTGGAGGTGGCTGAGGCGCTTGTGCAGCGCCATGCAGGATACATCCTGCAGATGCTCCCTGTGCTCCCACGTCGAATCAGCGGCCTTTTTTTACTGGCGCAAGGTGATTTGGAGCCACACATCTGCGTCGCTCATCTTGGCTCAACGCCTGCAAGTCGCCCAAGCGTGAGCCTACCTCGTGCAAATGCGTGTATAATCTTTCATTGACTGAACCAAGGAATCTAGAAACGAACTTCCCATCAGACCTCACCAGTTTACAAGACACGGAATGGCAACTCCAGCAAGCCTCACCACTTCGAATGGTCCCCCATCAGATGGCCCCCGGATCATCCTCGGAATCGACTATGGCACGACCTATACGGGTACGTAAAGGAACGCATTTCCGCAGGCGTCCACCGACTAACACCCATATCTGGTAGGCCTCGCCTGGGCGCAGAAACGAGGGGCTCATGATGTGATCTCTGTCGATAATTTAAATGTCTTCAAAAAGTGGCCAGCCCGCAGCGAGTCAAAAGTCCCATCCGCAATATCCTACTCATGGAGCCCCAATGGATGTGCTCAATGGGGATTTGACATAGATAATGATGCAAAAATCTTCAAATGGACCAAGTTGGAGCTAACAACACGCGATTCGGTGAAGGAACTCAAAGTTCTCCTAGATCTCATGAATGGACTAGAATTGATCCAGAGAATGGGCAAGGAGAGCGAGGAGGTCGGATCAGAGGAGGTCCCGGATCATCTGACAAAAAGTCCTGAGAATGTCTTGACCGACTATCTAATGAAACTATCGAGAGAGTGGTATGAACACATGCACAGTGGCGGAATTAACACTCTTGCGAATGTACCGTTGGACCTGGTTATCACACATCCCGTAGTAAGATAACCCCGCCCAAGTTCTAGTTCTTGAAGTAACGGCAGTGCTAGAACTGGTCCTACGAGGCCTTGAACAAAACGTACAGAGCAGTTATGGCAGCTTTCCCGAAGAGAATGTATGGAGGTTTACGACATGTTTACATGACAACCGAGCCAGAAGCCTGTTCGACATATACAGTGCAAGAGCTCCTGAATAATAGAACGAACAAATTGATTCCAGTCAGTTAAGTCTCTCGAGGGAGTGTGAATTAGGCTGACGTAAGTGTACCTAGGGCGACTGTTTCGTCTTGTGCGATGCGGGTGGTGGAACAGTAGTAAGTTCAGGTCTCACTATCTACCTTTGTCAGCCGGGAGTAACCAATTACTTTTAGGATGTCGCATCTTATGTTGTGGAGAGCCTCCAGCCTTTAAAGCTGACTCGAGTCGGAAATTTGAAAGGCAAGCACACCTCCACTTACCTCTAAAATCACTTTAACCTATTTAAGAAGATATGCTTATCCGTCATCCAGGCAGGGAGTGCGGAGCCACTTGCGTGGATCGAGAGTTTTTGGAGTGGTGTTCCAAAAATCTTAAAAGAATTCCGAGGAAGGACATAATCGAAAGTGACTCGACCTCTGGTGGTCACTTTATCGTAAAGCCAACAGGGAGATGGCTCCTGGATGAGTTTGAGAGGAACAAACATGCGTTTAGTGGAGTTGAGAGTGCCGATATTGAACTTCCAGAGGATATTAATGATGCTTCAGGAGCACCAGAGGACGATGACAGTGATTCGGGCATGATATCAATTTCCACGGAAGTCAACCCTCTATGGCCTGCTGTTCATCAAACTAACACAACACAGACAAGAGCTACTATCTATGTTCCACAGTTCTGTTATGGGTACCGTCGAACTAATTAAAAAGCAAGTCATTGAAGTGCGCAAGCTCACATACGGAGGCGGACCCTGCCATGTGTCTGTAAGATCTAACCCTTGCCGTACTGGTATGCTAAGTGTATCTAAACTGCATTATTAGACCATTTTTCTCGCTGGTGGGCTTTCCTTAAACCCATATTTGGTGAATAAAGTTAAGGCTTTTGCGCGGGGAAACGGAAATATTCTGGTTTCTAAACCAAAAGATGGGTGAATAGTCAAACTCGAAACTTGGCAGGCTTTTGCTCATATGATCTAGGTGGAGTGCTGTCGTACAGGGCGCTGTACTGACGGGTGCTGGGGTTGGAACTCAAATTCCCCCCAAAGTGAGCCAGGTTCCGCGCTACTACGGGATATGTGTGAACCAGGTGTATGAGGATTTCAAGCATGGGGACCGTGCGGACGTTGTCATCGACAAATATCACGGCAAGCGGATGGCTCGGGATCCCATGTCCTGGTTGGTTAATCAAGGCGATTTGATACTCCCTGGGAAAAGCATCACGAGGAACTTTGCAGTCTTGTGCAAGTTCACCCCCAGAGACTACGAGGCCCAGGGTGTCGTTCGAATCACTTTCGTCGCCGCTCGCGCTGATCAAGGAGCCCCAACAAGGTTATCAGACATATCCAAAAGTAAGTCCTCATCCAGCTTATGATCTCTTAATTCCATGATCGAAGCTGATATCGCGTCTCTTTATAGGTACCAATACTGTCAAGTACATGGATGTTCCGGTAACAACGTTCGACATGAAGTCGCTTTCCCCTGAGAAGTTTGCACAGGGAAGAGGGAAATACTTCTCTGTGCGAGTGAACGTCAAGATTCGTGTGTCTACTAGTGTCAAGGTGGATATTGAGTACAAGGGGCGAAGTGTATATTTGTACGAGTCGTCACTGTAGTTAGAATCTAAAGGCTGCTGCACTAGCGCCCTTCGCAGTAAATTGTCAACAAAACACTAATACGCGTAACATGTACTGTAAATTTGAAAGTATAACGCGTAAGAAATTCGAGACTAGGGCTTGTGATATGCTAAACACCAACCCCACAAGAAACGTGACCTGCATTGGAGTATACTCATTGGATGCCTCGTGGAGCAGGCAACCACCATCTTGGGGCTAAGAGGGCACTGTCCCGAGGGACGTGCGTAAGCTTTGTGCATCATGCAAGCCACTACTTTTGCTTCGTTGGGCTGACAGGTCTCCAGTCGCCGAAACGCACGTCCCGTATTTGAGCACCGCCCCTCCCCGTGCCGCTTATCAGTCCTGAAGAGCGGAGAACGGTCATGGTCAAAGAAACATAAGTGCAGTATCGGCTGAAAGGCTGAGGAACTTCCAATGGAAGGCTGGAAGTTTGTGAACTACTCCAGTTTATCACCTCTTGTTGCGTTAAGTCTGACTACTGAGCGATGGGGACTTGAGCCACTGCCGGGGAACCTGAGAGCCAGCTACGGATACTTAGATGATCTAAGGGGCCGAAACGACACAAGTCTCTCCGCTTGGAAATTCTCCTACGGTTGCGCTACAACAAAAAACGATTTGATATACGAAATTGGCGGGTATTCCGTTGCCAGCAATTACTCCACAGTCTCTGTCTCCGATCAATTCTGCTCCAAACCTCAACGTTGCGGTCAATCCACATGCATAAATCTCATCGAGGGCATTGGTAAAACAACGGCCGGTCCAGCAAAGTCCAACATCCTCAAACTTTCATACGGAATTTCAGCACTCATTACCATATTATCCGGTATCATCATGGGATGCTTCTCCTCCAAGGTAGTAGAACCAGATGAACAACCTCGTCCAGTTAGACCTATCGACAAGGTGGAGAGGACTTATAACCCACCCGCAAAAACCCAAAAATCTAAAGACCCGTATTTTGTCTCAGCACCCCCAGAGGCAGACAAGGCAAAAGAGATCGCTCATTGTGCCGACCTCCTACGACAAATGTACAGTCTAGACATTTTGATATGGACAGCGGAGGATAACGTTGGCAGTGAAAGGGCTGAGCAAGCCCGGCAAATGGAAAAAGCGGATGCTTTGTATAATGAGATTCAACGGATAGTCAACGGGTGGAGAGATGTGTCACTGGGGTACTTTTCAGGAGATGAGAGGAAGTATGTCCATGAGATATGCACAGCTATGGACAAATACGGTAGACGAGGCTACCGCGGAGGCGTTCGTAGATAAAGCTTCACAGGGGAAGGGACCGAGAATATTTTATACACGCAATGTAAACAATAGCAAAATACAACGTTCAATTTCCCGTTTCTAGTGGAGCTCCCGCACCAAATGTGGAGCTGAGATTCACAAGTGGATCTCACAAGTGATCCGGCATATAAGCCTCATCTTCTCGAGATTCGCTAGGGGTGGCAGTAGGCTTAAGAGCGATTGTCACTCGAGCGGTGGCATGCTACGTATTCGTTAGACTTCGTCGACTATCACTGTAGGTACAGTTTATCAGTAACCACCAGTTCCCTCAAGTTCTAAAGTCTCCAACCAATCACCCTTTATGCATGGTAGAAACAGCTCCAAATCAATAATTCGTTCCCTTGCCACCTCCTACCCCCAGTTCCTAATAGCCCGCAGGACTACAGATCCTAGGATTATTGTAGGAATCGGCTACTGGCTCACAGATACCGGTAGGATAATATGCATGCTGAGCTACTTATGCTAATTCTGTCTGCGCAACGTCTAGCTCTAACCTGGACGCAAACGTGGGGTTCAGGGTCAAAGTCTCTTCACGTATCCGGATTCTACGGTTTTAGAAATTATCTAGGTCGATGCGAGACTCGAGTCCCTCTACAATTTCCTATTCTGATAGCAAAAATAGGCGCTCTGAATAGGGTTTGACATCGACGAAGACTTGCTAGTACATCGATGGAAATGCTTGAGCTGACTCTACGTAGTCGTAAGGAAGAGTTTCTCACGCTAAATGAGTTGATGGCTAAGTTCCATCCTCTCTGCATGCTGGGTCGAAGTGGCTCCGAAGAGTCCTCGAAACTCCTTAGGCATCTTTCAGACTGCACTGAAGGCCTATTGGCGGATTATTTGGGATGAGTAGAGTAGACGTGCTATGACCATATGAGTTCTACAGGGTTACATACTCTCAACATCGTTCCCATTGAACTTGCGTCTACTTGCCCAAATGTGCTCTTTTATGATTAAATCTAGAATTGAAAAAAGTCTAGTTACTAAAACATAGGAGTGGCCTCACTATGACAAGAGAGCTCCGCAAAGCAGCACGAACTCCTTTCTCCCTTTCAACTTCCCCACTCTACATAAAGTCTTCCTCATTCTTCCTGGACCGGACGCGACGATGCTGTGTGCTATTCAAGAACTCACCCAAAAGGAATGTGCTTCGCCAGTGCCGGTAAGTTGCATTCGATTCTGCTTGTAAATACACTATTCTCGACTAACAAAACTGGGACAGAACAACATTATTCTATTTTGTAATGCCTATAATGTTACCGTAGAAGGTCAACTATATAGTATAGAAGATCTCCAAATATATCGTAAATAGAGCTAAGGTCATCAAGCCAATTGATCTCGAGCGACTTAGCCATCCTAATAGGATTGAGCTCTCCAAAAGTATGCGCGAAAATTTACCCACAGCTCCTTGTAGAATCATCTCACAATGGAATAGCGAAGCCGTGTAGAACAAACCTCATCGATTCGACGTTGCCTAAATGATGTGTTGCGTTTGCCAAAAGGTCAACCTCTCAGCTAGCACAGCAGAAGGATATATATAGACGGATAGCTGTATGCGACATGATGCGAAACAAAAATGAAATTGACAGGTCTTGTATTCGGAGGCCAATATGCCGACGGCGGGCTTCGATTTAGCACCAAAGGGGAGACTGCTCTTAGACGAATTTAAGAAGCACAAACGAACCCTTAGAGGAGTAGGATGTGCGGACCTTACAAGATTTAGAAAATAGGCCGACAGCCGCTGGTAAAGAAACTGGAATGTTCTCTATCACTGCGTATGACCGGCCTGTACAGGCATATGCACTATTTTAAATCTAATCAGAGAAGAACTAAAGTCAACGCTCCACCCAACAATTCAAAGAACTAAGAATTTGATCCGAGCTCAAATCTTGGATATTGAGAGAGCATACCGCAAACGTACTCAAAATCGTGTTTCGGCAAGTTATTCTATTCGCGCAGTTCCATCGGTGTTTAACTAATCTTATCATCAGGATTATATTTCTTGCTGGAAGTCTTTCCGCTAATGCTTGTTTTCTTGGCAAAATCAAGGCTTTTGTGATTGGAAATTAGAACATTGAAGTACTTACAGAACAAGCCTGGTAGGTCACCTTCCACATATTATAAAATTCGAGTTGAATGGAAAGCGCACAGCCGTACTGCAGCGATGACAGGTGCTACTGACCACCACTCATGTTAAAGTACAATTACCTCCTAAGCCATTAAAGAATTATACCTCAGATGAATTGAGCCTCTTGGATTCATCATGGAAGGCCCTGAGTGAGTCCATATGGATTCTTTGGCACCTACCTCCCTAAATGCATTTGGTGAAGGGATTGTTAGAAAGTCACTTAATGTAGAATATATAATTAAAATCTCAATTAAACTAACATCTTGCTAGATTCAGACCTAAGGATTCTTAAGTTAGCGTGAGATCATTTCTTGTGAAGCTATTAGGAGCACCAAAGCCATGAGTAACTGAGTTGATGGCTAAAGGAGCGTAACTAAGGGTTTATATACAAAAGAGTGAGCTAGGTAGTATGTGGTTAGTGAATACCACGAGCAGGTGGTGGATTTTGGAGGGCTCCAGCGAGCTCCGTAACTGCAAACATTTCTCTTAATATTGGAACACCTGATAAGCTGATAACTTTGTGGAAGGGTTCTATTCCGTGAGCACAATGTCGACCTGGCTTGGCCCGATTGAGCAAGTGTGATTGCCCTTGACTAGAGAATAGATGTCCCCACTAGTCGGACTGAGCAAGCAGAGGTGTTCCTTCCCTTTCCCCATCCTCGATGTCTCTTTCTATGAATCGGGGTTCCTCTTCACCCCATACTTTCCACTGAATATAAGAATATCCAAGAATTGGATAAAACAAGGAGCTAGGAATATTAGCTGGGACAATTTCCCTGACGATATTTGCGACGCACACCAGTAGTACCGAGGCCATTGCAAGTTGCGCATGCCGCCATGGGATTTTCTGAAATCCTCTCCCTTCCGGCCACATAAGCGTATCTATCAACAGCCAAACCCAAAGGACAGACGCGAGGACGGTCTTGCTGGCCTCGAATAGTAACGTCGAAATTTTGGTGGGAGATGCTTCTGGTTGTATGCGGACGAGGAAAATAATTACTGTAGTCAAGAAAGCAGCCAGAGCCGGAGCGCTTGAGACTGCTGTCAGCGAAACTAGGAAATTCGGGTAGGCAGAATGACTGACAATACACTATAGAAAGTTTTGGGGCCAATCCACATCTGTAGAAACAGGTTATACCCGAGAAAACACACAATTAATATTGCAACGATAGCCTGGTAGAGCGCGACTGTTCGTAGCACCCGCCGCTCGAAAGAGCGGCCTTCGGAATCGTCCATCGTTAAGTACGATGTTTAGGGAGATTAGCTTATATTGAGAAGGCAGAAAGAAAGTGAAGTTTATCAGACGAGATATTAAGAGATCTAATGGCTTTAAGAACTTGAATGGCTGCCTGATATCTGAAACAAGAAGGATTGCGGCATTGTGAGTGTGCACTGCCCAGTTCTCTTAATTGGGTGGTGCTTATTAAAGACACTACTGTGAGTGCCGCGAGAGTTTTCGAGCTTTTACATTTTAAATTTTATGACTAGGGCTCCCGTGATGAGTTTATACAGGTTGGAGACGTTACTCCCCTCTCGCATCTGATACACTCTACATGCGCCCGCAGACATTTCTCCTTCTACCACGTGCTTCTAAACCCTCACAGATCTGGACAACCACTGATCAAACAACCCAAGCTCGGATAGGGGGCCGGACTTCGTGAAGCGGATAGGCAACCACACTGCCCTCCTGTGCCGCAATGTTGCCGTGTAGTGACAGGATTGGGACGTTACTGTGTGTTTTATGTAAAGTTGTTTTCTCCCCTCCTCATATATAGAAAAAAATTTCCTGCCTAAGTGTTTCTTAATGTGCGCATTACTAGGGATGGCTTAAAACCTTCTGCTGTGCTTCTTCCTGGTGTTTCGCCCCAAGGAACATGGTAACGACAGCGAAGGATTTGACCTAACAAAGTTATGATCATCAAGCAATCAATGCACAGAATTATTCCCTCAACTCATCGTTACGCCTCAGATCTTCCTCCTCGTTCCTCTCCGCATCTCTTGCAGCCACATCACAGCACCAACAAGATCGGCATAAATGAACGGCCTATTAACACCGTATACAGCACCATGCGCTTCCCGCCATTTTCCGCGCCAGCCTTCATGATCCATCTCTTGGAATGCTCTATTGCACATTAATTCTTTGCATTTCAATGCCTCGCGCTTTAGTGTTTGGCCGTCCATCCTCATTCGCAGAAACCATGGATGGTGTAAACGAATATCTGGACGCTACATCCGTAGTCCCTAAGTGCATCAGCATCGTCCGCCGGGTAGCGAAAACCAGAGGCATCCAGAGCGCGATGCGTCCATCAATTATGAATCCCAGTGAAATACCATTCAAGCACATTTGGTGCTGTATACCGGCCAAGCGTATTTCGGAGGCCAAAGAAGCTCTACATACTGGAGATGAAGGAGTTGGTGTGGCCAACAATGTGGTTCAGTTATAGTGAAGATATATATGCGTTGTTGGAGGCTATTAAGGTGGCTTTCGTAGGTTAGGGACTATTAGTTATTGGTTAACCTGGGTCTTGCTCAACCTGAGTCTGATGTTTCGCATCAAGAAGAGGACGGATATAAAGGCAAACCCAGAGAGAAGAGCCTCGAATATGGCTAAAAGGTTTCCGCTGCATGTTGCGCCAAAATCTCATTGTATACCTTACATTGTCACGAAATCCTCATGTGAAAGTCGAAAAACCGACTAATACAAAGTAACAACCAACTTCTTCGCCGAAACCCCCTTCCTAAGCAGATCCATAGCTTCCTGCACGGAATCGAGACCTAGCCCAACAATTTGTGGTTCAGGTGCAGGTATAAATTTCTGCTGCTCCAGTGCACTGGGCAAGAAGTCTTCGTAAACGGCTTTCCCCACCTCATTTGCCACCAAGTCGCTTCCATTGATGATCTTGGTGCGGACACTCTTCATTGTTGCCTTGATATTTCCTGAAATGACTGTGCCAAGCATTGAGACTATAAAAGGGAGAAAGTCCAAGACACGCTTCGGAAATGGAGGCATATCGAAGGTAGCCTGAGCGATGAACTTGTTCCCCTTACATGCTCCCATGATATCTATGCATGGTTTGAAGGCGCCAGAGCCTATGCTAATTGCGCCTGCAGCGGATCGTTTTTCGAATGCTGAGATGATGTCGGGGACAACGCTTGCGCTTCGATAATCAAAGACTTCGACGGCACCTAGCTTTTTGAGATATTCATGGTTTTTTGGCGAAGCTGTTGCAATAACCTCATATCCTGCAGCCGTCGCTAGATGAATAGCATTGCATCCCACGCTGGTAGAGCCGCCCCAAATCAGCAGCGTCTTCCCGGATGGAGTCGGGGAGATAGTGGGGAAAGGAAGAGCGAGATAGTCTTTCTGAAAGAGAGCGCAGGCCGCTGTCGATAAACCTAGTGGCATTACACACGCCCTCTCGTACGACATGGATTGTGGGATAGGAGAGGTCATGTTTGGACGGACAACTGTAAATTCTTGGAAGCCACCCTCGCATGCTCGATTCACCCGTTTGTCCAAGGCGACCGCGTGGGCGACAACACGGTCTCCTACCTTGAAGCGCGAGACGTCCTCTCCGACCTCGACAATCTCGCCGGCGACGTCGGTACCCAGGATGAAAGGTAACTTGACCCACGAAACCACCAAGCTGGCCGCTTCCTGGATAATGTAGTCGTAGGAGTTGATGGCTACAGCCGCGTTCTTTACAACTATCTCATCTCTTCCAGGCGAAGTGTATGTGGATGTTTGAAGTCTTAGAGGTGTAGCCTTGGCAGTCAGAAAGGCGGCATTGTTGGAAGGAGTCATTTTTTGGAGGCCACAGAGGAGGAGGGTTGGAGGATGCTTGTAGGAAAAGCGATGACCATTACGTCCCTTGTCTATTATTTATATTCATTTTCTCTTTAGGGCGTAAGACCAAACTATTGTCAAAGTGTGAGAGTATCATCTATCTCTCTGAGGCCCATGTGCTAACCTGTTGTCGTATGTCAGACAATAAAACGAGGTGCAACTTTCTGCAGCCTTGACTGGGGCACGAATATCGGTCGGGCAAATAAGTTTTCAATCCGTTCCTGCCTCAAATGGGGATTAAAGAATAACCCCGAAAAAGATGGACGCTGAGTGGATACAAGTTGGAACTTTAGACATTGACGGGCACTTTTCCGGAACGGAAGTCTTCAGATTCGCTTTGGCGGGGGATCTTCATGCCCGACCTTTCCCAGGGACGGGCCGATGGCACGTGACTGTCGGGTCGGTAGTTGAGCCGAGGAGCCGCGATTTGAAGGACTTGATTTCAACCAAGGATCGAAATCACCATTTTCATCATCACTACGATCAGTCACAACTACAGCCACAGAAACACATCCGGGAAGGAGTCTCTTTCCTTACAATGCTTCTTTGGGCTATCCCGCACGTTGACGGGAGACTCGCGCTCCCAGAACCGGAGGTCAACGACATTCGTGGACCCCAATTAGTTTGCAGCAGCGAAGGAATACCGAAAGAAACTCTCTAACGCTCTAGAAGTCTTGAACAGAACCACACCTTTCCCATTCGTGACAGCGGATACATGTGCTAGATCGCTCAGCCACGTCTGGGTCCTCCAAACACTGGTATCTCAGAATACCCCAGGCTATTGCCACCAAAGAAAATCTTTTAGGATGAAGTAATTATGTCGGAAAGTCCACGAATAGTAAAGACAGGTCCCACAATGCCATTTCTGGGAATTTGCCAAGGCTTGTGTTTTTAGACCCCAACAACCCTTGGTAAATATTCTCAGACTCTTGAGAGCGTTCCTGCGCATGTAGGTCGCCATTGAATTCATGTGCCGTAATTTGGACCGACCCCGTATCTCATGATCCCTTCCTACGAAAGGGGAGGGACATCTGGCAGCCGAGTTCCAACCCCAGTCAACTTATCCATTTCCCAGAGTTTCTCCCTTCCTGAAACTATCCGTACTTCTTCCGCATGGGAGTTCCAGGAATTGCCTATATAGCTGACGACGCCTCTGCTGTTGAACCAATTATGCGGCTTCTAAATCAACGCTCGTATTATTTACCCGGATTTACCAGAGCAGAAGGGCTCGGCCACAAGGCTTCTTTTGTAGAATTCTCCGACTGGACGACGATCGCCATCTTTTTGTTTGATTGCCAACCTTCCATGTCCAATTCAGGTAACTACTTTAACCCCACAAAACACTTTATTTTGTACAGTTTCGTAGCATCTACAGACGGGTTCTTCCGAGAGGAGGCAGATTGCAATATCTTTTCCACCGTTCCTGCGTGTTCACCATGCTTTTGCCAAGTCTCTTAAGAATAGAAAATTGCCACTTTGAAAGCTACAATATACTTTATACAGTCTCTTACGTGGCGGGTACGACTACTCTCATGAAGGAAATACCCAAGAAAAAGTCCTGTTTGCACGGCGGCTTCTATAAAGAGTATTGTCAAGTACAAAGACTGCAAAGCTTCCAAGTCTGATTCGACGTCCATCCTGAGCTTCTCGGTATTATGCTTCTCTTGGCCAAGTCTCTTGCTGTTCTTGCAGCATTGCTGCTCAACTCCAGCGTCTTTGCACACCCTGGACATGATGTCTCCGGGGAGGTGGCTCAACGTGCGACGTATATTTCGACCGCAGAAAAGCGCTCGTTGTCCCATTGCTCCGCCAAGTTAAAGGAAAGAGGATTCCAAGATCGTTCAATTGCTCGACGGCATGAATTGGTTCAAGCTCTCCGAAAGAAGCGTTCCCTCGAGGTCCGTGATTTCAGGACTGCACTCAATACTTCCCATCATTCGACCGAAAAATATACGGCTCAGACGGACCCTGGAGTTATTTTTGCTGGAAACAGGTCTTGTATTCTCTCACCTGAGGTCACTGAAGGCCCATATTGTACGAGATCCATCCTTGAATGTGTTGCATTGGCTGACTTCAAGCTGCTTAGACGTCAGTGGAGAGCTCGTGCGCCAGAATGTAGTAGAGAAGGAGAAGGGGGTACCGTTGACCTTCGAGGTACAAGTCATCAACATTAAGACCTGTGAGCCCATGAAGGGAGTGTTGCTTGAGATGTGGCATTGCAACAGCACAGTATGTCCAAGGTCCTAAAACCCGCTAAGCCATCTGCCTAACATCTGTAGGGTGTGTATGGTGGTATTTCGGGAGGAAACGCAGCTGGTGTCTCCGATGATCGCGAACTTAACAACACCATGTTGCGCGGTATCCAGCCAAGCAAGAAAGATGGCGTTCTACTCTTCGACACCATCTTCCCAGGGCACTACGTTGGCCGCACTCCTCATATCCACGGTAAGCCCACTGTGATTATCCTTCATGCTCTTTCTTCTTTGCTGTCCTTTCGGTTAGGCTGACGTTCTTACTTTAAGTCATGGCTCACCTCAACGCCACTATTCTCCCGAACAACACCGTATCTGGAGGTACCGTCTCACACGTCGGCCAACTCTTCTTCGACCAATCCCTTATATCCGCTGTTGAAGCCACAGCCCCGTACAAGACCAATACCCAACCTCTTACGACGAACGAGCAAGACTTTATCATGGCTCAAGAAGCCGAAACTGGAGACCCGATTCTCGAATACACTCTCCTCGGTTCCAAAATCGAAGAGGGGCTCTTTGGTTGGATCGCTTTCGGTGTCGATCCGACTGCTAACCGGACCGTGAACGCCGCGGCTAGCTTTGGAAAGGATGGAGGAAAGGCGAATCCAAATCCGTTTGGACCTGGTGGACCGATGCCTAGCGGAGGCTTCCCGGGAGGATTTCCAAGTGGAATGCCGTTCCCTCCTGGGTTTACTGGATTCCCATCGGGGTTTCAGCCCCCGTCCGGGTTCCCAGTGCCCACGAGCTTTCCCCAACCCAGCGTGAGTAGCGTTGCCAAGTCGAAGACGACGGGCATGTAGGGAGAATGTTGCGAGGGATTGTAGGTAGTGTTGTAGGAGAGAATAGACTTAGGGAAGACTATGGATATGCAAGGTGACCCACTGCGAAAATGTAGGTAGGGAGTGATTATGAGTACCGCTTGAGAACTGAAATGCACGTGGAAAACCGCGGTCCTCGGTGAATCCTCATCAAGCCGGGCGATTTACTGAAGTGTGTAGGCGAAATGAAGTAATTACAAGAAACGCAAGTTTTAATACGCAACGATTTTATCTGGCGAAAGTAGCGAACGTATCATCTAAATGTATAGGTGAAATAATGAGAGTAAAGACCTCAACGCATCTGGTTACCCAGTTAGTAAGAAAGTCTTTAAGGCCGTTGCCAGGAGATACCAGGGGATTGAGATTCACGTCGTGCCTCCCCCTCCCCTGTTCCCTTCGTCCTGCCTAGAGAAATACCATGTCACTCCATCAACCGTATCCTGCTAGGACCAGCAACTAGATGCACCATACTTGAGATCCATAGTGTTTCGGTACCATAGTGACACGCCAACCAGAGCTTAACGGACTTACAGAGAACCTTAGTACACTCGCGCAACACACCATACCGGCCATCACTGACGAGCTACAGCAGCTTGGGAGCCTCCCGGCCTTCAGTCAAGGCGCTCAGATTCTCGCAATGCTTTAGAACATTGACAGTCGATTGAGGAATATCGAGAGCCGACTTAATACGCTGGGGAAATGGGTGGGACATGTTGCAACCCTCACTGTTGCTGTCCAAGTGGATGTTGTGAACATGGATCAAAGAGTGTAAGAACGCAGGGTTTGATTGGAAGCATCGTGAGTATGTCAAACCTTTTTATGAGTAGATGCTAACAAGGATTAGGAACTTCGGCAATACCGTTATTATAAAGAACATGAGCATTTGCGATCCAATTTTCACATTGGCACTTTTCCTCACCACGCGATCACCAGTCCGCCAATCGCTAACTTCCCTTCAACACCCGCAGCTCCGAGGAATTCGACTGGTATATGCTCCACACTCAGGAGAATCATGAACCATGAATCATGAACCATATCAGCTGACTGGGAAAATAGTCCGTGAACTGGATCGGATTCTGGCCGTTCTTGGTCAAGTCCTCGCGATGCGAAAGTTACTTAACTTCTAGATATCATTGGAATCCAATTCGCAGAAGTGCCCTGCGAGTACGGTACATTGCTAGCTTAGAATTGCGCTTAGAGTCGGCGTCTATAAGTCTAAACAAGGTGTTATCGGATCTGCGACATTGATCCAGGTTTGGGGGTACATCCTTATTAGATCGATGAAGGCGTCTCTGGAGTGATTGGGGTTTGCGATACCACTAGTAACCCAGTTCCTTGGATTAATTCTACTAAAGGAAGATAAGCTTGTTCAGAGCAAGGAATAGGAATTAAACCTTAATGCAAATGGTGGTTGAAAGGTGACCCGGTACTTAAGGCCAATGAAGAAATGTCCTCAGCAATGCCCGATTCTTGATCCAGTCGCATCATTTCCTGTTGCTGGCTTTGGGGGCATCAAACCGGAAGCGATACAAAACGTGCGGATGCCCAGGCGGTGTTGGAGGTGGAAGTTGCACTCGAAGTGGTATGGGTATGCTGACTCATATTGTGCCTTGCAAAAAGCTGGTTACAGTCAAAATTTTCTGCAGAATGGTCAGGAAAAGGTACAGTAGTGCTAAAACAAGAGATATTCTTACTCAACTTAGCATTCCTCTGCAGAAAACTACATTGCTTCTTCCTCTTCCCCTTGTTTTTAGCAATATCTTCTTAAGATTATATTATTGTTTACTTTCTAGTTTCGCAGTTTGTTGTTCATCCTTTTTTACCTGTACCCGTGCCTGTGGGCTTGGTAGTACAAGACGTGCGCAGAAATTCTAGCTGTAGCTAGCTTTTTGCAAGGCACAATATCATCGATCCCGCACTTTTTCGGCAGGGCTCCCCACCAACTCTCAAAGCGAAACACGCCAGTGTCCTCACCAACATGCGTGTCGCACAAGCCTTAATTACGGAGCCTTTATGATCCCGATCGGATACCGACAGACATTAGCAGTGCATCCATGGGGGCAAATTGTTATTGTAGCTACAACTAAGGCGCCAACCACCGCCCGATTTGTCCGCTTCTAAGCCATGGAAATGCTGCTTCTACTCCTTGGATTCATCAAGATATTACTCAGTTGTATGCAGGGCCAGTCCTACAAGGCCCCTTTGGACTTTTCTTCAAGTTATTACCTTCGTCTCAGGTTGCAGATGAAGGGAGCCCCCAAATCCTTCGATATCTTGCGTCACCAATCCCATCGAGGCGCAGCTATGACTCGTCCCCCATTTATTCTCTTCCGCCTCTGCGGTTCGAGCATCAACTCTTCCGCTAAGCGGTTGCAACTTACTCTTGTGCGAATTCTACCTTCAGTGATTCGCGCACCTTATCCATCCTTCGAACCTCCTGGGTAGTGTACCCGAATATTCCGCCAAGCTCACGTCCTTTAATCAAGTCCGGATCTACTCGCGCGCTATTCTTCTGTGTTTCAGCGTCTAATTGAATTCACTGACTACAGTTTTATGCATCTCTCGCAGGTACAACTTCGCCTCAACGTGTCCAGGTGGTGTGTTTTCGGCAGATTCCCATATTAGATGTGGTCCGTTCATGCCGTCATTACGGACTTCGCAGTTGTCGGACCTCGCTAATAATACCATTTACGAGAGTTCGCATCGATCGCTGTTCGCATTGTGTACCCAGCCTTGCCCGTTTCTAGTACGGCTATGTTTTCGTGTTACAGACGTCCCACAAAGGCAAGACAAACAATGCTATTGCCTCCACCCATAGAGCCCATTTTAGTATCAAAGCGCCCTGCAGCATGCTTACTACTGCCGACTTCCGTTGATAATCTCCTCCCTCCAGACCTCCCATTAGACCTAATTCTAGCTACTGAGCAGTTTCGCTTCGAGATTTCCTTTACCAAATCTTCATGAGGCATTCTGAACAGTAAGTGCACCTATGTCGGTCAAGGCAAGAGCGCAGATGAAGGCAATACACCACATCCATGCTCGGCAGTCTGTTTCATTACCACCTTCTCCAGCGTCGCCAACATTAGCGCAAACCGCCTCATCGTCCAGCACACCATCAGCGACTTCTGCGCCGCCGATATCCCAACCAACGGCAGTTATACCCCTTACTACCACATTTACTCCTCCAGCATCATGCACCGAGCAACGCCTCTCCCAACTGCCTCCCCCGGGTTACCTGATCTGGGCCAACGAACCTATACCCGCAGTGAACCACACTTCTAGTGCATGCTATCCTAGCGAGTTCCTTAAAGCATATCAATCAGTTCCATCCGGTATTGTTGGTTCATCCGTGGTGCCTGCTATGAGCCCTTTGGTTTGCCCATCAAATTTCTGCACAATGTTCGCGGGCGATGATAATTATGTTGCATGCTGTCCGTCGTAAGTTTTCTAATTCCGTGCTCGGCAAACGTCTTGACAACTAAGTCATTCTAAGGGGCTTTCAATTCCACCGCCCAGATGTGACGGTTGACCCAAAACGACCTGGATATGGCGGTACGTGCTACAGTGACTTCACTGTGAGCTCAACCTACGCTGTTACGGCTTATAATGTGAGCGGGGCAACGAATCTTGCTATATGGACGGCAAGTACTTCAGGTCGGGAACTTTAGCAAGCATAGTCTCTATTCACTATCTGACAGCCTTGCAGGGGCTCAAGCTTATGCTCATCCCATCGACGGATTCGCAGCTACCACTCCAAGTCTAGGTTGCCCTACACCACAGGCAGTTTCACAAAGACCATCCCGTGCGACTGTTGCGGGTGCAACCGTTGGTGCCCTAGCCGCGATCGGTTTCCTCCTAACGGCCGTCCTAATTCTCCTCCGCTTTATTCGCAACCGCCGGAAACCACCCCCACTAAAGATCCAACATATATCCCACGACATTGCGGTACGCAACGGCCATGCACTAGAAAAAGAGGGGACTGTCTTCTTTGCTGAGATAGGCATTTCACACAAGACAGAGAAGTGGGGACATAGATCGAGTCAAGTGAATGGTGGGCAAGGTCCGTATGAGATGAGTGGTGACACAGTACCTGAGTTGGATGCAGGTTACGATGGAGTAAAGGATTTTGAAAAGGAACAAGCGGCAGACTTAGAGAAAGAGCGGCGGAAAATATTAGCCAGGGAGGCGAACGGAAAGTAAACGGCCAGCTTCAATACATAGCAGCAAACAATCGCCCTCGAATACGTCTCGTCTCTAGCCTAAAACAAATACTCAGGCCCCTCCAATTCTGGTTGCACATCCTTGTGTCATTCCTGCGACCTGCTTCCCCACCACACAATCGCAACTAGACGAAACGGAGAGAACGGATCGAATCTACTTGCACTTTCAGAAATGCGACAATTAGCCCCATTCCCGGTTGATAATAGAGATATGAGGAGTTTGAGTTCGGTCTAAGGAGTCTGCATCATACTCTCCATTCGCCATGTATATATTTGCTTCTTTGCAAGCTTGATGCTTGAAATGCACATTTTCACTATCCTGATGATTCAGCATTCGTGCGCTGTTCTTCGATCGCAATTGGTTCTAAATTCAGCTTCTCCAGGGACGCGAAGCCCATAACCGCCTTTCGTATATAAACTTCGGTGGAAGCCGACTTATCCCTTCTCAACCATTCAAGTCTTTTCAAGCTGTTATCGTGGTTACTGGATCAGGAAAAGCCCGAGATGCGCATTCCCCGGATTCCAGGCATCAACGCCTCTCACGTGACTTCGCGTCACTCATGTTGAGTAATCATACACGAGCCCCCGCTGGCGGTCTTGGCATACGCCTTTTGAGGAAGAGCAAAGAAGATACTTAAACACAGCGTCCCTCAGGTTCTTCCCCCAACTACATTGCCTCAATTCCTCTCAAGCATCTCCCCACATCCACTTGCAAGAATGCCACTGAATAATATCACAACCTGCCTCTGGTTCGACGGTTGCGCTGAGGAAGCCGCAAACCACTACATCTCCATCTTTTCCAACTCGCGCATCACAAGCATCCAACGTTACACTGCCGCCGGTAAAGAGCATCATGGTCACGAGCCCGGCTCTGTCATGATTGTCGAGTTCGAACTCAATGGTCACAAGTTCGTTGGCTTGAATGGGGGACCGCAATTCAAGTTTACCGAAGCAGTAAGCTTTATGATCCACTGTAAGGATCAAGAGGAGGTGGATTGGTATTGGGAGAAGCTGGGTGAGGGGAGGGAGGGGGATTGTGGGTGGATTAAGGATAAGGTATGATGTATTGTGAGTGAGGGGGATGATGATATAAGGTTGACTAATGAGAGATAGTTTGGTCTGAGCTGGCAGATTGTTCCAAACCAGCTGAAGAAGATGCTGTCATGCGAAGATGCGGAGAAGTCGAAGAGGGCTATGGAGAAGATGCTGACTATGGGGAAGATGGATATTGAGGGCTTGGAGAAAGCTTTTGATGGGCAAGAGCAGTGAGAGAATGGGGCCTACTGGCGAGGAGGTAAGAGTAAATTAGGAGAAGATGATGGGTCTTAAGTTGTCCGACGAAGTACTAGAAAAGGTTCAAGTCCTAACCCTAACCCGCCAACGGACCCACTGCAACTAGGGTAAATCTTGACTGGCGAGAGGTTCAGGTTTTTCAACACCAGCCTTGATAGTGATATTTTTAAAATCAAAGCTGTTAATCTTCAAACTATTGTACTCAGGGCCCATGTCCTTAAGCCCTGTAACTCCCGTCATCTGATCAGGTGCCACCACAAAACTGCCCCCTGTCTTGTATCTGATCTAATATTAGCCTCTAATTATCTGCTTGTAGTCCAAGAATAGTGACTTGACAAAATAGCTGATCGCACTGGTAATGGTACCGGTCCACGAATCTCATAAACACTATAATAAAAAGCTAATCTGATGGGTTTTCTCAGCACCGGGAACTTGATCAATGGTGCTTGGTGGGAGGGACATAGGGATGCGAACGCCGAAAACTGCTGACGGATATCCTTTCCGAGGGGGTATTCTGTTCACTACCAAAAATAATTCAGTGGTTTAGGTTATTGAAGGGTAATGATGGATATGCCTTACATGAGGCCCCCATAGCGATAATCTGTCGGCTAATGGGTCAAATATGGTCTTGTCGCCGCTGGCGGGCGGGGAGTTTATCGTGTGGTGAGATTGAGGTGGTGGTTGTTGCCTACGTAAAAGGAAGTGAATGACCCCTGGAGGAGGGGCGGAAACCGGCCTTGTGGCTTGGCATGTAGCAAAAGATGGCGTTTCGTAATACTTGCAAGATACGCAAGGCCTCGTCAAGAAACATCTCTGCGAGCTTGCGATGGCTTTCTATTTTCTGTTTCGGGGTTTCCATTCCAGCCTTTAGAAGCACCTTTGCGCTCTCATAAGAATATGTTGCGAAAAGTCCAGTGAATCAAAATCGCGTCAATATTAAAAAGGCTAGGCATCCATATATGACTGAGGCTACTCAACTCGGCTAAAACGGAATAAGTGGAATTTCCTGAACGAATAAAAGGGGCCTTGGACCCGTAACTGTGTGAGAATCCAATCCCCCAATAGCATGATAGCTGCTCGCTTGAAGAGACGAGTGGGTGTAGACGTAGGAGACCTCGTACCATTCCTTTATGTCCCGTCTATCAGTGTGCACTGAAAGCCTATTTTCCAGCCTTCGGGCAATTCTGCAATCTGATTATTCGTATAATCAGACTTGTCAACACAGCAAGTGAAGATTACTGTCAGAGATTTGCGCCATGCCGATTTAAGACGCGTTAAACCGGAATGATACTAACCCAAGTAGGTAATCAATCAAATCAAGTTTGACCCTAAAACGCCACAAACTTGACTGTTGACAAGTCCGCATGTCATTAAGAGTGGGGACTTCATTGTGCTACTAGTTCAGACTTGATTTACTCGTGACCTTCTCCGAGTAGATGTTCAGTCGCAACTTCCAAGAGCAGAAAACCTGGCCTTAAACTAGACTGCGTGGAGAGTCTTGATGTCTGTCCTTCACGACACTTGATGCAGCCTACATGTCAATATGATACATAGCCTTTCGAGCCAGATCCGCCTCCGTTTCCATCCAAATTAGTGTGCACCAGGCCTGCTGAAGAACAAAATTTCATCCAAGCGCAAAGTGGTCGGGCGGGGACCAATACAATGGCGCTTCTGTGGGCAAGAAAGATCTTTAAAGCTTGCAGTCCAACCTCAATCCCCTCTACTCCCTCACCAAGCTAAACAACGACATTCTCGGCCATGCCGTAGATTTCATCCGTCCAAACTAACTTAACTACATTTCCTAGGTAGTCCTGTTGATTGACATAGGTTGCATCAACCCATAGCCATCGTACTGACTTCTCTTAGCAAAGTACTCGGAGCACAGTAATTAAGGTCGTGTAACGGAGAACTCAAGGTCAATGTAGAGGTATCCTTGGGAGGATCCATATGATAGAGAAGTGACGGAGGATTAGAGTAGAAGAGATCAATTCTCTAACCATATTCCCTTACATTCTTTGCTGCCTACTGAATCTCTCGACATGGCGGAGTGTATGCATAGGCGCTTCCATGAGTGTGGCGGTGTCAAAATTTGAAGAGTAGAGAAGGCAAGAGGCTGAGGCAATAACCTAAACAGCTTTCACTAGAAAACTTGAAACCCTATTATATGCTATCTAAATCTGTGCAGTGTGAATACCGCACAAGAAGTGAATCGATAGGCCGGATCTCACGTGGTACCGCGATACCACCGGTCCCCCAGTGACCGATAGATCTGATTACCCTACCTTAGCGTTTCTGCTTCCACACAGGAACACCAACCTACGCGAAATTTTGCCAAGGATGCCGTATGCGTTTGTCGCTGCTTCGTTCGTTCTGATATTTCGGTGTATGATAGATCTTGTTGTAAATCCCGATCAGGACATAGCACGGATACACTGGCCGTAAATGATGGCCGGAAGGGCTTAGAGGCCTGAGTCTGCGCAAAATATCGAGCGATTGCCCAATGGCACATACCGCTTGCAGACTGAAACTAAAGAGTTCTCAGGATTCAACCCTAGCCTCATGGTCGCCCTTCTCTATATTCGGAGCGCATACTAGTGGCGCTCGCCACCTAGTGTGCGATGCACAAACTCGAGACATTTCGAAGCTGCTGGAAACCTAGAAATGGAAAGAGGTAGAATCTACAAATTTGGGTTCCTACTTGCCGGAGAAATCAATTAAATTTTGGGTGGAGCAGAGCTCTGCGACTAGTATTCCTTTAGCACTAGCTTGTGGCATCCTTGCTATCATTTTCTCGGTGTAGTTGCACTAGAGCTGCGCTTAGCGATGAGTTGACGACTTAGCATTTTCTGATTCTGACAGTTCCTTGTTCAAGGACCTGTCGCCTTCATATGTGCTTCCGAACCTCTGAACCCTATTCATCGTCACACTCAACCTACTCTGGTACCTCCTGTTCACCCTGAATCATCGTAATCCATCGAGTAGTATTCTAGTTTGTCATTATTCCAGACCCTGTTACATCCTGGAGCCACTTCTGCCCGGTCATGCAATTCCTTTGTCGCCACTCTCTCCTCTCCTCTTCGAGGCCCTAGCCATCAGTATGAGATTCAGGTTGTGCTAATGCCTTTCTTGAAACTGGTATGATTACTGGAGAAATCTTTCTTTCAAGCTTCAGTCGACGTGTTTGTCGAAATTCAGTCCAAAGGCTCCTCGCTCAGAATTCGAATCAGCAGTTGAGGGGCTAGACTCCGAAAGGGTGGGAAAGACCACGTCTGCTGGTATACTCTCGACTTCGCCGCAATTTCCCTCAACACTGGTATCTATGGCATCATATGCTCAACATCTCCATTTCACCACAAGGGAACAGGAATCTACCTCGGAAATGGTATATAATCCTCCTTCCTAACTCCATCTCCTACCTTGTCTTTCAATCTTCATTTATGAACAGCTTGAACACAACCAACATGAACCTCTCCCTCTTCCCCTGTCTGTCCCCTCTCGCGGTGATCATCTATTCGGCCCCAGTAGACATCACCCCGCAATATAATCAAGGCCTTAGTAATGTGAATTGCTTACCCCTCCTCTCCGCTGCTTCGGAAGCACTGAAGTGAATGTCGCAATCACGTGATGTGGATGGCGATGTGACTGCCGAGCTTAAAGCTCTCGGACTAGCCCTGATCACGGTATTAAGAAGTATCTTTATTACAGCCTTATTATAAAATTTTATATAAAATATTTTTAAACCAATCCAGGCCGGGGGAAAACTAGAAAATCATTTTCTAAACTATATAACCAAAATACAGGTCATTCAAGCCGTAAACCAACATGTAACCAGCTAGAAAACTAATGAAAATCACTCATTAAGCTTTACTACCGCATCCACAAACGGAGGCAGCCCACAGTATGATCCCTCGGGCGCAAACACGTTGAACCAGTCAGTTACGACAACGTTGATTTTTCCTTTATAATTTGTGGGATTCCCTTTCCAATATGCTAGACGTTGGAGCGACTCTTCGGCCATGTCGTCCGCCAAACCCAATAACGAGTCCTGATTGCATTCAATAGATGAGCGTGTCGAGAGGAATGAATTCGTATACATGCTCAAGGATGGAGAGCGGACGAACTGCATGACCTTAAACTTGTTGATTGTATCATTGGCTACTGCTTCAGCAACGTCGATGACCGTTTCTATATCATCTGTTTGTGCCCATCTGACTGAGATTGCGCTGGTTTCTTTCTTTTCACGTGGCCAGAGGAATCGATCGTTTTTCACAGCGATGTCGTTAGCATAAAAGGCAAATATACGGTATGGCGTATTCCAAATCTGGAATATAGTCAAGTCCCTGCTCTCTTCGTTGGCGTACGGGAATAATTTGTCATTGAATCGGAAATGGAGATTTGAAATAATCTCAGCGTGTGGACCCTGCTCAGGATGATCAGGGTCAAGGACCATATTGTAGAAATGATTGAAATCTAACAGCACAATCTCATACGCGTTCTCAGGGTCCTTGTACCAATCTTCCAGTTGATCGAAAAGATCCAGGTATGATGGACCAACGAGTCCGTGAACAAAGCTAGGACCGGGATTTTCGAGCGCGACCCGTAGATCGAAGTATCGTATGCCCATCTTGAGCTGCTCCAAGAAGTTTGCAGATGTAGTCCTTGCCCATCCGACAGCAATATCTTTTTTTCTTCGAGGAAGCGTCTCCAGGCACCACTTTTGCCATATCTCCTTGTCTTGCCCGAAAGCCGAGTCACCAGTCACTCCGTAAGAGCCTGAGTCATGAGTTCCGGGCAGAGCTATTTCTCTTAGCTTTCTTGGGCCAATCCGTTTCCACAGCTGGCTCATCCAGGGCCCGTAAGAGGTAACGCTTGGTTGCAACTTGATAGCATATGCCTTCCCGTTCTGGCCACAAATGAGCATCTGTTCCGATATTGCGTGCAAACTCATCTCACTAGAGAGGCTGGGGTCAACAGTTCGGCCAGTCATACGAAGGTCCAGGTCAAACTGATATACACATCCGTTGCATCCTACAAAGACGTCCTGATTAGCGACGAAAATGCTCGTCAACCCATAGCCCTCAGCTCCAGGGAGACTGACCCTGGACAGAGTTTTCAGGGTCTGGGTATCGAGTTTTAATATAAAACCGTTGGTTCCAGCAAATAGGTGGGATTTTGTACTGTCCGTAGCAAGTCGAATATCCCAGCCGCTTGCCTCCTCAATGATCATAATACAAAGCAAACCGCTCAGATTGAATCCCATTTTTTGAACATAAGATGGTCCAGGACTCGCACTCCCTTTTGTGGTTGCAAGGAAAATTCCATCGCGCCCAACAGCGAGGCTTGGAACACATATACCGGAGCCGAAGATTTCAGATTTGCCGATCTCTCTGAACGCTTTTGGTTGCGTTTGTATGGCCTGGATATTGGTGTCCCCAGTGAGGTAAACAGTAATATTGGACAAATCTTCTGCAACGATCCTCATGACAACATCAAGCTTGTGTGGTGTCGCCCATGAGTAAGATGAGATCTGCGTTCCGTTCAAGGTGAACCGCTTCAATGTATTTCCTCCAGCCGCGAAAATGAAGTCGTTGTTTAGGTAGAAGACGGTTGTGGATTTTGCCACCCCGGATATGTCTTTGGTCCAGATGGTTTGTAGCGTTGTTGGGTTTAGGCGAATTGCCTTGTTATTTAGGCCAACGATGAGAACATCCCCTTGAGATGAAGACGTGAACTTCATCGTCCCCTTCATACCCAGATCGGCATGTGCCCTCTCTTTTCCATAGATACTATCGAGCAAGAATATACGTCCTGCTGTGGAAGCAACGTAAGCGCCTACGGGTGTAATGTGTACGGCGAGAAGGCTATCAGCGACACTAAAGCGCCATTGCTTGATAAATGACATTCTTCCAAGATATCAAGATATTTGCCACTGAAATATCTGTATAGTTTTGTTGTGCTGTATGGATTCGCCTGTGCCGCTAGCCTCTTGGAGATCGATGAAAAGCGAGGTGGAGCTTGGAGTTAGGATTCGAAATAGAGATTAAAGCGAAAGACGACTAGCTCTTTCGTTTTGGACAAGACTAAGTAGTTTAATAGTTAGGGTTCTGGAAGGAACAGTATACTGCAGGGATGGCGTGACTGAGATTGTGGTGTCATCTGATGCTGATGGAACATTTTGGTGGAGTGAGGTAGGCCTAGAACACGAAAAAAAGGAAGTCATTCTATCATGCAAAAACCCGCTCTTCGCTTCAGACCCAATATTGAGTGTCTAGATAAATGAATGGTGTAGTCTGGCGTAACGGCGGTGAAGTATTCGGCTGCAGTACGAAATTTATCGCTTAAAGCCAATGCAAGAGGAGCGAATTGGTTTCCTAGCGGCCAAGCCAATCACGAGTCTTAAAAAGCTCATATATATATATATATGCCTTACCCTTACATGCACCTCAATGCGTAACTGCATCCCCTCCAGGAAGCTCTAGGAGCCCTATTCGTCACTATTGGCCTTAATTATCTTATCTTAGACGATACTTACAATCACTAATTGGCTCTTTTACCGTTTGGGGCTTAAAACACTTCTCTGAGTCCACGGCAGACTGACTCTTCAGTGCCGGGCAATTGACATTGCATTGAGCATCCATAGCCCCTTGCAAAGCATCGCCCTTCCAGCCGAACATATAGTCACCATGTTGTCCGTATCCATACCCACACCATGTGAGCTTTTAATCACTATCTAGTCCTCTGAGGGCTGAGTGCTAGGCTGGCTTACGGATCGCCCATACTATACAAGAAAGGCTGCTTGGTGGCATCAGTGGGCCAGATCTTTTTGTCGTTGAAGCTTCGTGTATCCCACATCACCTCGTACATGACTTGTGGGATCTTGACGGGGTGGGTTTGATAGACACGGGCCGTTAGATTCGAAAGTGCCAGAAGGCGTGTATGACACATGAGATTTATAATCGGGGCTGTCGAGGTTCTTTCCATCCCAACATCTACAGGGCAATTAGCTCCATTGTCAAGAGAGCGGCGAGGCTCGTGAAAGCTAAGGTTCTTACGTTGGGAATACGATAGTAGTGCGAATGCCTCCCGCACAGAACTTTGTCGGAAACTGGGCTGTGTTATCACCGATGCAGGGTGCGCCACCAAAAGGACTGGAGTTGGCGCCAAAGCAGCGGTGGCAGAGACCGCGTTGGATACTGTCATTCTTTCGAAGCACGGCGTCACCCACAAGTATACGGTAGCCTTATCCCCATTTTAGCATCACATCACTCCTCGAAGTGAAAAGTGCTTACCGGTTTAAAGCAGTGACCGTGCTCTTTCCATCATAAGGGGAGATATAGTAAATCGCTAACCCACCTTTCTAGTCCAAGTATTCATTCGGCATCTGCGGGACTCTCTTGAAAGTCCCATTCTTCGCCTTGAAGAACAATGTCGCAGTCCAGTAATTGGAGAAGTCCTCACTGAAGGTGCAGGTAGTGCAGCTGGACTTGGATGGTGGATCATATCTAGGTTCTATTGAGGTGTTGAATGAGTTGCTGCCTGCGACTTGATGCAGATGAGGGGACCCTATCTGACCGGGATTCCTAACGGGGTCGAGACGTTCGAGAACCAACTGAGAGCAAGCGAAACGCACCATTTGTTAGGCGGAGGCGTGGTGCGCAAAGAGCGCAAGGACGAGTGTAGCCCACTGCATGATGGGATGATATTCTATTCGTCGAGGGAGTCTTTGTGAAACTGCTTGTGGACCTCGGGTCTAGTATGGCGGGCGAGAAAAGACCATGTGCCATACCAGTATATAAAGCCTTACTGAAAACAAGCTTTGGTATGGGTATTGTGGGTCTGGGGTTCTCCCTAGATTTTTGTGACTATACGGATGCGTGGGCGTACGAGAGATTAAAATTAATGGTATATCTCTAGCCTTCGCGAGGGGTGTGATTGTCCTAAAGATAAAAAATAGTGTCGTTTTGCTATCGTGAACCCCGCGTACTCGAATGTTATGAGGCGCAACAAGAAGGTCGACGAGAGTGAAGTGTTGTAATTGGTTCAACGATCGGCACTTGTTTATTATCGGCTTCGTCGGCCACTACCGGGTATTTAGTTGTTACACGAGTAATCTATACCTCTTCCCGGTAGCGAATGATGCCCTTCAATAACGGAGGATTTGATATATTCTGAGTGGGGTCACCCGGGCTTGCGATCTATGGGGTGGTTATTAAATGCGCACCTTCAAGCTTCACCTATGAGCATGACGTCTCGACGGCGAGGTGTTGTCTCGTCCAAGCAGCGGAAACAATGAGAGTGGAGAACCGTTGTTTCCTGTTGATCGGTCTGATCATATGTTTCGGCTTCAAATAGTGGGCTTGTAAGCAACTTTGCATTGTAGATCGAATGCTTCGTGTTGGAGTGTAGCCCAGTCCGCACGAACTGCTTAGACATTTAAGCTTTCACCTAAGCTTCGACAAGCTTTGCTCACATACGCGAAAGATCCCGACCACAGGGCCAAGCCAAATTCTGACATCCTTATAAATATCGAAATAATACCGATGTTGTTGATGACCAACAGGCTTGAATTCGGATGAGACTTGCAAGAATGAAGCGTTGGGGTAAACTTTTGGCTTCTAATTGTATGATGATGGAAGGCCAGCGTTCTGACGAAGAGTGATGGAAGACATATTCTATAATCGTGAAAGAAAACAGTGCAGATACACGGCGAGAAAACGAGGGCAAGGAAATACTGGCATCTCATCTGCTACACTCCAATACCTCAGCACTGCTTCTCATACCTCAAGCCGGCGCGATCTTGAGAGGACAACTGACAATCCCCATCTCCGGCATTTTGGCATGTTCCAACTCTCCGCTAATATCGAAGTCCTTTGTCGTGTCCAAAATAACCCTCAATCCGATCTGTAACGCCATCCTAGCCAACGGCATCCCAGCACACCGATGACGTCCTCTACCGAACCCTAAATGGAGAGTTACGTTTTCTCTTCCGAGGATAAATTCATGCGGATCCTTAAATACATTAGGGTCTCGATTGGCGGCCGCGTAAGTCATGGTGATGGGCTCATTCGGATTGATGGTGCGGCCGTGGAGAGTAACCGGACATGAAGCAGTGCGACAGAAACCACGGTATGGTACATAGAGGCGAACAAATTCTTCGATGGCAGCAGGAATAAGCGAAGCATTGGAGTGGAGTTGATATTGGAGAGCTTTATCGCGAGCAAGGTGGGCACAGATGTTACCGAAGAGAATGGGTGGGCGACCATGCCTACCACGAGGCACTGCCGAAGTGTGTCGCTGAAGATTACGTCAGTCATACATCTGCTGCCCCATCTATGAAAGGAAATATATCGTGGTCAGGGACTTACATCAGCTTTTCTTTAGAAATCGGCTCGCCATTTATTTTTTCTCCTAGCAGGGAACTTGGGCCCGGATCCGTCTCAGGGTTCCCCATGCTCTGCCTTCTTTCCCTAAACAAAGCTCTCGAAATCTCATATAAATTTTCCGAATGAAACTTAACTTCCTCTTTATTCTGTTCCCGCCAAGCATTAACCCATGAAGCTGCCGTTCTCGCCAAGTAGGGGGCAGTTCCATCCTTCAAGTTCAACCATGTGACTTCAACCCATGCCGAGAAATTCGCTCAGAATTCCGCCGACACATTACCGTACCCGCGTTGCACAAGGAGTTTGAACTCCCGACGGGCATGGTTCTCGAGTACGCCTTCTAGTCGTCTCAGTCTAGAAGGCTTCAAGGTCCTGTCAATGGCCGTTTGATATGGGGTATGGACAGGAGGATCCATGTTCAAAGGCGGACGTCTTGTACCTCGTGGATCACTTAGGATAACTGCTTTGACTGACGATATGAATGTATCCGTATCAGAAGCGCAGCGTTTCACATCTTCATATCGCGTGAGCATCTAGAATCCGCCATTGTTAGAACAATATGCTACTGGGCATTTGGTACGTAAAAGGTCGAATTGCTCATGAATGTCCGAAGGCACACTCGGGTCTGATAACGTAAACTCCGGTATTGAAGGTGAATTCGCGAAAACCGTGGTCATGGTCGCACGAGGAATTCAAAAGTGGAATCTGAGAGCACAAGTGCATACGGCATATGGAGGGTTCTGAAGTACATTACGATAAGGCGGCTAGATTCTATTTTGCCAGCGCACATGGTCCCCCCAATCCGTGCTAGACCTGCAACGAGGCCCACATCGATATCCACAAAAGCACGCACTATTCCCAGCAACCCGTACCTGGAAGGTTGCAGTGGGGATCAATGGAATTGTGGAGAACCATAATGTGGAGACGTGGTCCGTGGCAGTTGCCGCGTGGGGAAATCCAGGGAAGTTGAGGGGAGAGACCTCGAAAACAGACAACAGTTTCAAAACACCAACAAGGCATTTTTCCACATCTGCTTTGTCAACACTGGTGTCTAAGATGGTGTCCTCAATCGAAGAGGCCAAAAAGGGCGTCACTTATAACATTGAACGCGCTCCCCTAGGCCTCGAGCAATTGACCGCGTACGAGGCGACGACAGACGAGGCGACGGCGCTAGATAAGGCTGTAAACCTTAAATTAGATTGCATTGTAGTCCTTATCCTGGCTATTGACTTTATCCTTTGTGGTATCGACAAGACGAACATCGGATATGTCGCAACAACGAGTGAGTTCGTCTGCTTTAGAGGCCTTAGAGAATTTAGAGGGGCTGTTAATATTACGCAGATATGGTGAAGGATGCAAATCTCAAACCTGATGACATTCCTGACTCTGTTTCGTTATTTTCTGTAACGTTTATCACCTTGCAGCCTGTTTCCACTGCTATTGGACGACGCGTAGGTCCGAAGTACTGGATTGCTTTTATGATGATCTGCTGGGGAAGCGTTTGTATGGCTCATGCAGGTGTGCAAAATCGCTGTACTCTCATCACTCTTCGTCTGCTTCTAGGAGCCTTCGAGGCCGGATTCGTTCCGACGTCCTTCGTAAGAAGTTCTTTTCCCATCACCACGAGCTTGGCATTTACCTATGCAGTACTACATGTCGACCATCTACCCGAAGTACTCCCTAGGATTCCGTCTCGGACTTTTCGCAGGAATGTACTCGATCGCTGGTGCTTTTGCAGGCCTGATTGCGTACGGCATCTTCCAGATTCGTTCATCGACCCTGCAAAACTGGCAGCTTTTATTCTTGATCGAAGGGGGGTTAAGTTTGTCAATGGCTGTCGTTACTGTGCTTGTCCTGCCGGCGAAACTTGAATCTGCGTGGTGTAAACAGATATCCTGTTCTCCCTTCCTTGCAGGCCTTGTACTGATAAGCCTCTAGTTTTCAAACCGGCCGAGGCTGCTCACGCTGTAGCACGCATGGAGCTAGATGTTCGCGGCGCTTCGAGCGAAGATGCACGCGGGAAGACGGCGCAAATTACCAAGCGCGACATCTTCGACTCAATAAAGGACTGGAAGAAGCTTATTACAGTGGTATTCAACGTGCTCGCAACTCTCCCTGTCAGCGCATTCAGCTACTTCATGCCGCTCATTGTCCACGGGCTCGGCTATCACGGAATAAAGGCTTCTCTCATGAGTGTCTCCCCGTTCGTTGTTGGAGCCTGTGGTCTTTTCGCATTTGTGTGGTCGAGCGATCATTTTAAGGAAAGGTCAATACATACTGCATCTAGTATGATACTAGCGATCGTTGGGTTGATCGTGGTGTATGTGTCCGAAACTCCGAAGATAAGGTATGCCTTTGTGCACATTTGCTTGGCAGGAGCTTTCACGGCAGGCCCATTGATCGTGGCCTGGCTAGCTGGGAATACGCCCGAGAAGGTAGTTCGCCTGTTCGAAGTTCGCACTATGTTGGGCCGATGCTGATACACAATCAGGGTATGAGAGCGATCATTATTGGGATTAATGGATGGAGTAATCTCGCAGGCGTAATTGCAGGGCAGCTATTCAAGCCCAAACACGGTCCAACATGTGAGAACCATGAGATCTGAACCATGCAAGTATACACGCTGATACCCTCAGACCGATACCCGCTCCTGGTCACTATGATCCTCATCGCCATCGGGGCGTGCGGATTTCTCAGTATTCGTATCCTGCTAATGTGCATCAACCGCAAGCGAGCCCAGATGATTTCAACATGGACCGTGCAGGAGTTCGAAGAGGAGTCTGAATCATCTGTCCGAAGAGGCGATCAGAAACCGACGTTTAAGTATGGGTATTGAGACCTGGCAAGCAAAGAGAGCCAGCCGCAAGAACACTAATAGTCGAACTGAACGGGATACTGAAATAGACGTTTTCCCTGTTTTACAGTCTTTCGTGGTGTGACGAAACTGCGTTGGGGAGCCATACTTATGAACATTTCGATGTCCATGCCTCCACCACCTCCTCCATTTCCGAGCTCACACCCCACTGGAGTGAAATTCCTCTCAGGAGCAGTCTCACCGAGCTCAGCTCGTAGCTCAAATCTTTGATTACAGCCCCTTTTTCGTCACCCTCATCCATGTTCCCGGTTATGAACGTAACCGTATTCCTCGCCGCCTCCTCTCCAACTTGAATCGTTCCGTGCCACTCTTTCTCACCCTGGGGTAGAAGAAGAACAATTTGCCAATCGACATCTGTAGGGAAGATAACCCTCGTTCGGCCTGCCAGAGCATGTGCTGCATAGGTGGTTGCAGCCGCGAATATGGCGCCTGGTACATGTGGATCATGTGCAAGACCTAAGGGAAGCTGGCTCGTTATGCGCTGAATTTCTACAGCGTGTAATAGCGTCCTACGCGCCGGGTCGCTTGTTATCCAGCGTGTTGGATTGATATCACATTCATGGCGTTCGCCTCCGCCGAAAATGTGTTGTTTGATGCCAAAGGGATAGCAAAGTCTCCTTGCCCCTCGCGCAGTATTGCCAAGTGCATCCAGACATATTGCATGCCACCGAAGCATTGCCGTCGACTTTTCCACTTGAGTGAAGATGCGGCTGTTCAGGATATATAGTCTCAATCGATCAAGCACAAAGTTTATCTCTGATTGGGGAGGCACTCCAACTGGGGAAGGCTCTATACGCTTCGACTCTGCCACAAGAGATTTCAATCCCTCAAGGACAACTTTCAAGGAGAAAAGAGAAAGGTCGGCTGGCACTTTAGCTGTTAACTGATCATGAGGATAAAAGAGCTTGCGAAAGATGTCGCAGAAACGCGTTCGTGTTTCGAGGGGACTTCGTTGAATTAGGCGTCCCATCCACTCGTCGGGGGACGTCGCATTAAAAGTATATTCGTCGCTAGGAGTGAGAAGGAGATTCGACATGTGCTGCGCAAATGTCGGGTTACCACTGAATTGGGAGATCACTCCATCCATAATATATAGTCCAAGGAGGGTACGCAATTGCACCTCCCGGGCGAGCCAGACTCTCCATGCACGGTACTTGGTTTCCTGGGGGTCGTCAAACGAAGGAAGTGGAGGCAAGGCGGGCAGATCGAATAACCCGCTGTATCGTGCCCAGTAGATACCGAGACCGTGGAATACCTGACTTGTCATACGGAGTGTGCGACTCTGTATGGGAATTTTAGTCATTGCTGGCACGGAATTGGAATATGTACCTTTGCTAGAGCAGCATATACTTGGCTAAGAAGCGCTGTCAATACTAGCTGGACCCCATTGCACGAGTCATATTCACTTTTCTGGCTTATCATAGAATGCCATGATGTTGACACAGCAGTATGAGCGAGGCGCCATAATACATCTCCCTGAGAGAAGCCATCAGTGTCCACTCACAGTAGTTAGCCTTATCTCACCTTTGCGGAAGCTTCCGGCGTTCCGAGAAATAGCGACCCGATAGCAATGGCATTTAGTAGTAGTGGCGGAGAGCATTCCCGAAATACGAAAGTGGGCCGATGAACAACCGGGAGCATTGGAATGAAGGTTGAGAAGAACATGTGTAAGCAGCTGTCAAGGAACCTCGATGTAAGATTTGCTAAAGCAGCAGGCTTCGTAACGCCATTGACCTTTTCAAGGGCTTACAAGATGTCTGCCATAGGAACTGGAGAACTTACAGTGTTGCTAATTAAAGCGCTGAGGGTCTGTATAGCCCGGCGTCCTTCTGACGAACCATCCTCCAGATCGTTAGTAGCTCTGGAATACGACATTGTGTGATTCTCAAGTATTGGCGGCATCAACGCCATAGGTTGCTCCCACAACGCAGGATCTATTGACATAATATTTTGCAGCAAGTGCTCTGAGTCTGGCCAAAATAATGATGAGGGCTGGAGTTGCGGTTGGTCAAACATATGGCTAGTGTTTAGGGAAGGAACAAGGGCTGGGACTTGCTCGGTCGAATATGAACCCGTCGCGGGGTGATGATGTACACTTCCAGGCACGTCTTCGGTGTTCGGAGGCATTAATCCAATAGTACCTGGGGAGAATACTGTGCTCCCCGAAGTCTGTGAAGAGTTGCTAGAGTTGTGAGTGTGGACTCTTGCATGGCGATTAAGAGCATCCTGACGAGCGAAGCTACGTCCGCACACCTGGCATGCGAAAGGTTTGTCACCCGTATCTGTAGCTGTTTAAATCTAGACCATAATCCTCTGAGGAAGGGTGCCTTACGCGTCCGCTCATGCCGCTGTTGTGGTGAGCAACGGTGCACCAGGCGAGAGGGGTATTCAGACTTACCTGAAGATGTTCCTTCTTCGAATACTGTCTGTGGCAGACCGCACATTCCAGGTTCAGCACGCTTTGGCGACGCTGTGTTGCCGGGGTCATTTTTGTGGGGAATCTGGGGACTGCAAGACGAGGTGTTGTGGAGATGGGTGCACCCCACCTTCTAATATCGCGAACCTCGGCAATCTCACTTTGTGCACTCGATGTGATTTAGATTGAAACAAACCGAGCCTAAATATAGCTCCAATTTTTTTTGTTCCACTTCGATAATACAAGGCCCAGCCCGGATTTCAGAGCTCAACCTCGTTAACCATGGCATCTTCCTTCAGACCAGCCAGAAGATTCTTGACTGATTCCGTCGCCATTTGCTCTCTCGTCTCGATTGTTGCGGACCCGACATGTGGCAGTAAAACACACCGCGGTTGTTTGAGGAGTGGGTGGTCTGCCTGAATGTTTGGTTCATTCTCGACGACGTCTAACCCGGCACCGAAGATTTGCCCTTCGTCAAGGGCAGAAACTAAGGCATCCGTATCGATGACTGGACCACGAGCAATATTGACAATCACTGCAAGCTTTTTCATCTGGTGGAAGAATTCAGCGTTCACCAAATGCTTTGTGCTTGGGGTCAAGGCACATCCAACGATCACAACGTCGCTCTCTTTAGCCAACTCCTTCCAGTCCAGTACCGGCGATATTGGGATTGAGCCATCTCGTACTACTCTGTAGTGATCGTCCTGGACAGGCTGCCCGGGCTTAGATGTGAGATAGATGGCTTTGCCGATACCGAAAGGGAGAAGACGTTTGAGAGTAGCTTGTGCAATCCGACCAAATCCAAGAAACCCGACAGTTGAACCACGGATTTGAGGACCCGTCATTAGCAGAGGAGACCAGGGCATTTGCGGCCATTGACCTGTGAGTACCTTCGCCATTGCCTCGCCTCCTCTTCGTTGTGCCATGAGAATGAGCATCACCGTCAGATCCGCGACAGCATCGGTCAAACAGGTAGGTGTGTAACCCAACCGGATATTCCGTTTCTTCAGCGCATCTCGGTCGACATGGTCAGTGCCGACTGAAAAAGATGCTATCACCCTTAAGCCGTCGCCAGCAGCATCTAGAAGCTCCTCGTCGCACTTATCCGATAGCATAAGTAGAATTCCTGAAGCCCCTTTTGAGTGCTCGAGAAGCCAAGATCGGTCGCAAGGCTAGAGCCAGACCGGTTAGCGTCTTGAAGCGGACATGAATGAATCTCGTCTACGCACTTGTTCCGATGGCCATTGTACGATTTCTAAATCTGGGTCTGCTACTAAGAGCTTCTGTGCTGGTTCGATAAGCTGTCGTGTCACCACCACTTTGTGCTGTTGAGGCATGGTAAGCGCGGGAGGAGGATGGTGGGGCCGAGATCGGAGAGAGGCAGGTGGCAATAATAAAGCGACAGCAAGATTAAATAACTGGGGGCAAGTGAAGAAAATTTCATGTGGGTGGCTCTTGCAAGGTAGAAGTACTCTTAGTCTGGTTAAGTGGAAATAGTAGTAATGTTAATTCTTCTGGGAAAAAGAAGTCGTCGCGATATCATTAACCCGAAATATCCGCCGATAAGCGATTGTGATGGTGCGCATCGTATCACGAACAACAATTGAAACCCACTAGTTAGCTACTCAATTTGCGCATAATCAATCTTTCCATAGACAGTATTCCCATTCTCTCTCAAGCCCACGCAACTCCTGCCGACTCCCGCCCATCCAGAGTCTCTCTCTTCGCAATTTCCCCAATCCAGATGACAGGAAACACATTTGAAAACTTCGCAACATCTAGTCTCGTCTCCGCCGACCCCTTTTCTAACGCTGTCTTGAGGTTCTCAACACTATCGAAACAACACGTTGTCTGAACCAGATACGGCGGCGTTTCTCCCGTCAACGGGCACGGATTCTGGAACTGGTTGATTGACCATGACTTTAGCCCATAAGGACCCCAAGCACGATCGATTAGGGGCATATGGCCCGAGAGGTAGTAGTTCATATCGAACTGGAGAGGTTCCCCGGTTTCGGGGTGCTTGGATGGATAAGCAACTACGGCGGCGATTTCACCCGACATGTCGAAATTGGTTCGGATAAGGTGGATGGAAAATGGAAAAGACTCTGATAGAATTGTAGAAGATTGCTACTTGTTCTTTTAGAGGTAGATCACACAGTTTTCTGGGTATGGGCGTTGTTAAAGTAAGCATGATTAGACTGTGGCACAAAATGCGGAGTCTTGAGGAACCTCGGCTAGACCCAATTGGACTCGACGATCGCATGTAGCTTAGAATTGATGATTTCCGACAAAAGACGGGGGGAGAAAAAAGTTCGTGCTTCACAGTCAGACACTGGTACGGCGTCCAAGAAAACAGGATTTAGGATGTCAGACTGAGCCCTAAGAAACTAATGCTCTCTGCGGCAAGGCTTTAGAGTATGGCTTCAAACAACAGAGATTTCTTCATCCTTAGAGTTTGCTCTGAGCAATAGATTCCCCTCGTGTTTCTGGGACCTTCATATCAGTCCTCCCATGGAATACACTCTCGCTCAACCTCGCCTGGTTGATCAAGAAGCTTGTAGGGAACCAATCAAGTTGCTTTACACTTCCACCTCGTATGATGTGAACAAGGGCTTCCGCGGACTTTAGACACAACACCATCCCTAGGTGCATTAGTAAATGTCATAAAATAAGGGCGGAATCCTTACCATGACCATTAAAACCTGCAGCAATCCACAGTCCCGTTGTTTTGGGCATAGGACCGACAAAGGGTATGCCATCAGCAGTTGTACCCATGATTCCGGTCCATTCTTGAGTTATCCTCTCTCCCGTCTCATTGCCCCAATTTTGCTTACCAAAATAGCCCACCAGACTACCTCTCAAATATCTTGAGATACTCCCATTTAGCTCACTATCGTTAACTGTGCCAAATTCGCCCGCACCCCCTTCTGGCTGCCGACCTAGGCCACCACCGATAATGATGTGCTGACCGCCTTCAGAGAGCGGTCTTGGGATCATGTATTCGTATCCATACTTGTAAATGAACGAATACGTGGTCGGTAAAGGAGTTGGAAACTTTGGTGCGCTTCCAGGCTTTTGTGCAGCTATTTGACCACGGAGAGGAACGATGACACCTTGGAAGGCTGGTAGCAAGTTTGCGGTATATCCGTTTGTTGCGAGGATCACAGAACGAGATAATATGATTCCCTTTGGTGTTGACACAGTATGGCACGAACTCCCCGTTGATCGATCGAGTTGGGCTGGAGTAATCGTTTCTACAGGAGTATTCGTGAACAGCTTCAAGCCCCCCTTAACGCAAGTTTCCAATATCCCAGTGGCAAACTTATATGCGTTAATCCGACCAGCAGCATACTCGAAAGCACCAGCTAGCGGTTCGTCTTCTTCCAATTCCGGGTTCCGATTCTTGTCGTCAACCCAAAATCGCGCCATTGCTTCGTTCCGCGAGTGAACCTTGTACCAAGCCATCCCCCCTTCCATGCTCTCTGACTCATCTGCATCTGCCCTCAGTATTTCGACCGCATTTTTTCCCCGTTCGAAGGTTTCCTGGTCGTAAATAAGATCCACCGTATTGCACTCCTGACTTTCACAATCTAATTTCATTTCTCTTGCCAATCGATGCGTAGCCAAAATATTCTCATACTCCAGCCTCGCAATCTTCAGCGCTTCTTCTTTCCCTAGTTCTTCCCTATGTTGTAGGTACGTTCTATAGCTCGCGGCCTTGGTATGGCCGCCATTCCGACCTGTGGCGCCTCCGCAGGCCTCCCGTGCTTCAAGGATCACGACCCGAGAGCCAGGTTCGGAACAGAAGAGACCGTACGCGATTAGCGTACCGGATATACCAGAACCAATGATAACATAATCGCATTCCGATGGTAATTCAGACTCTATGTGATTTGCGAGTGGCGATTTCGGGATATGCCAATACGAGGGGAGTGGATTGGGAGCCGGTAGACCAACTGGAATGCAACCCCTCTCTTCCATTCTTAATGGTACCGATTACAGGAGGGTTTCTTTGCTTGTCCACGTGTTTGGTTTCGAGATTTGAACTGTCTGTGAGTGTTAGGGGATGTAAGAGTGGGGTCCGTCTGTATATAGGTCATTCGCAGTTCGAACAGCGAGGAAATTTTGTTCTCTTCAATATGATAGCGCCGAGTCGTAGGCATAAACACCCGAGGGACTTCGAAAAGTAGCAATGGAATGAAGCTCGGACAACCATGAGGATGGAGAGTAGTGGGCACTCTGAGCCTGTTCGGAAGGACCTTCCTGTTCAGACCAAGCGTACTTGGCGCCTTCTCCAACCCCATCAGTTCTTCGTTGATACTTCTGCCTTAACACATCGAAGTCTGCAAGACTGAGAGCTACAATCACCACCTAGCTAGTTTCCCGTGATTTTAGATCTCTAATACCTCCCAAATCTCCGTAGAGGGCTAGCTGAGAGGCCACAAATGTGATGCCTAGCATTCGGTCCCTTTCCAGATATCGCATGCTTCCAGCTATTTGAGAGCACTCCTCATTCACTGCCTCATTTCTTGGTTAGGTCCTTCCATTTTTCCCGCGTTCGGTCGAAGATCCAACAGCCACTACATTAAGTACAGTTCAGAGCGCGCCCCTGGAGAGGCGGACCACTGTTGGTTATGAAATGATGAACCATTAACAATGTCATTTATGACCGTCGGAGTTATGACTAGCCCGGGCGCGCCTTGATAAGCCTACCGTGAGTTTGATAAAAAGTGATAGGAGCAGTGTTCTTACTGACCCATGTTGATGGCTGACATCACATGGAGATCTGTCACATTTCTGGTACAGAAACCTTCCTCCCCTGTACCTCAACAGCCCCTACTACCTTCACTATATCCCCTTAGCCATTCCCATGGCCCTCACTGCCCCTGCCATTATAGATGTAAATAAATACTCTGCAACAGAGCACTTAGACTTAGAACAATACACTTCACTTCATCAGCTTTCTACATAGCTGCATGCTTACACCACCTCTCTATTTGCAACAAGACCGAGTTTCATGAAGATACAGCCAGTCCTGGACAGGTGTTACAGTGCCAGCTCCTTTAGCCCTTTGCATTCTAGTCCAGTCCTCCCCATCATACTCCTGCCCATCCATTATCCTTGTTAAGTGGTTCAACTCTCACGGTTATTGTGGAGCATTCCGCCCATCCTTTCTCCAATATCTGCCCGTTAATCGCAGGTATGTCATCTTTCATCACAATGGATACGGCGCTGTTTTCCGTCTATGTCTCGTGCCCCTCGACCTTTAAGATCAGATTTACACAATAGACCCAAAAAGAGGGCTTTCTAGATTGGCTTCTCCCTGATCCTACTGCGTATCTTGTTGAGAGTGAACTAGTGCATCGATGATTTTCGATTGCTTGGAACGACTTCCTCACATCCATTACACCCAAAGCTTCGACCACGGAATTGGTCATGATCCAGCGTGGCCAACAGTACGTAGTACGTTACGTTTGAGCTTTTTTCTGCTAGTAACTTCTTAATTTAGTAGTACTTTTGTACATAAGCAGTGAATTAATTAGTAAGTACATAATATAACAGTAACTTCTTAAAATCCTTATACTTTTGTACTTTTTGCAAGAAGTTTTATTAGTCTAGGTTAAAATTGTTCTAAAAGAAGCTTTTTAGCTTAGATAAAGTCCCCTAGAGTAGTTAATTTACTCTCTACCTTATAACATAACTAGTTCTTTTAGAGCTGCTGTAGAGCCTTAATTATACAACCTGCTAAGCAGTTTCTATTAATTATAACTATCCTCCTGCCTCTAGAGAAGGCTCTCTTACAGTTGTAGCTTATTAAGAGTATACAGAGAAAATTAAGGGCAATTTTAAAAAGTGTAAGGTAAGTAATAACTAACTTTAAGCTACTAAGTAAAAGGTAATTAAAATAGCAGAGATTCCTTCTTAGCTATAGAAAGGTCTTTAATGTAGCTGTTATAGTATTATTAAAGCTCTGCTATTTTCTGCTGTTTTTTATATAACTTTAAGCCTGTAAGAAGGCTTATGTTAACAGAATACTTACTACTAGAAAGCTTATGCTAGTAAGGTTATAGATCTTTCTCCTTATTACCCTTTATCTCTAGCTTGTTAGGACAACTCTAATAAGCAGCTACTGTGCTACAAAATGTAGAGTCTAATTGTTACTTTAAAACGTGACTTTAAACAAAGCTTCTAACGCGATAGCTAATAGGGTCTAAAAACAGGAGGGAAATCTCCTAAAATATAACCTCTCTAACCTGTACTACAGGACGTACTTAGCAATTTAGTGTATAAAAGTTACGTCTTACATTTTGACTACTTTTGTACGCCTTACGTGATTACTACGTTCACGTAGTTACGTTACGTACTACGGACTGTTGGCCACGCTGTCATGATCTTAGATCTGAATCTAAATTGCGAGACGTACGATTCAAGGAGCTTGCTAGCAATTCATGAATTGAGATTGTGGAGATGATTATATAATATTTATTGTACGTATCCAAAGCATGCATACGTTTGCTGAATTCCGCACAGGGTTTCTATCCAATCCAAAACGATCAGAGAAACATGAAGCGACCAGTGAATTGGAGAGGTCTAACACATCTTCTAGGTAGGAAGGAAGTCATAGCAGCTTGCCTAGATCTCCGAGCCGACAGCATTCCTCCAGGAATTTGGAAGTGTAGCATGTGGAAGATCATTGGGGTTTGCGGTATGCCGCCAATATGGGGAGACGCATATGGATGATCTTCATTGTTGAGCGGGAAAAAAAAGGCCATCTCCAGAACTCTCGTGTGGAGGAAAACGGACATCGTCTCCATATGAGCATTTAAATTCAATCAGCAAATGCCAGAGTTGTTCACTTCACCATGCTGAGGCTGGCTTTCCTCCTCTGCATTATTAAATTCCAACATCTCAATCCATTTTAATAGCCTCGACGAAATGCTTCCAACTGGAACCAAAGCTTTGGTAGTAATTTTCGCTAAGATCTGTAACGAAAAGATAGGCCGCGCGTTCTCGCAACCCATACGCCAATCTCTTCACATCCTCAGCCTGGACCGAATGTATGATGTAACAGGTTCTCGATCGATCGTATGAAGAGGTAGATAGCCATTGTTGGTACTCTGGCGTCTGGTATGTCGAATGCGCGACTTCAACCACAGCGGTGACATCAGGGCCAGGATTTGCTAGGCGGGCATCGACGGCTGTCCCGGGGTTGTGAATCACCTTCGGAAGTCATCACTGAGATTTAATATGCTGCTGCTTTGTTCGGAAATCATACTCACCGTTCGATCCCCGAGGATCCCTTCGCTTTGCTTCACATACTGAGAAATTGCGTCCAGATATTCTCTCACCTCTTCAGAAAACACATTTGTCGTTTCGTCAAAGAAGATCCCCTTCACACTAAGTCTTGAAGCCACATGATCTCGAGACCACTCCGCGTACTTCGTGATATCCCTATACACCTCTTGAATCGGTCGTTGGCAGTAGGCCGTCCGAACATATCCGACTATTCGCACATTGGAGTGTTCATTTAGCCGTGGGATTTCGCGAACGTAGTCATCATTTGGCCACCATGGGGCCGAGCCCGGGCCACTGTTTGGGTTGATGATTATTGTGAAGTTTACATCTTGGTTGGCCACAATGCTGAGATGACTCAGTGGGCAGTGTATGCCGTTTGGTGTTGAAGGACTCACGCTTCATAAAGAGGATCCCATTTGCCATGGTCAGGATAGATGTACAGCGGAACCAGAATGCTCGATTTTGGATTCTGAGCCATGGTGTAAGTGTGCAAGTCTGAAGAGGTGAGAGAAGAAACATTAAAGTCAATTTTAACGTCCAAGAAATTGCTGACTAATCGATCAGGGCCCGATGCGGATGAGATTGCTCATCAGCCCAAAAGAGGAAGAATTCACATTACTGTGCTTGCAATCTTCCACAAAACTGTTCAGTACATAAAATAAGAAAGCAACCATATCGTTACAGCCCAGTCTCGTTCCCTCATCCCACATGTTGATATCTGAATACTGATACATTTGTCCTCCTCCCGTGGCCCGCGTTCACGTATCCCACCGCTCATACATTAGGGACAGTATCTAGCCTTTCGATGACTGAGACATACTTGCCTCCTGTTACCTACCTCTCATCCTCCCTGCTGTACGAACGTACACAAAATCTCACCTGTACGGGAGTTCGCTTAAGTCACGTGACACCCCTTTCCATCTCATTCTCCCTGAGATGAAAGCGATGCGACAAGTAATGCGATATTTGATACATGGGACGGAAGCGAGGCGACCGTCACACCTAGTGATGAGAGGGGGAGCATTTTATAGACGTCAAAAGTAGTAGGCTGATTGAGCAAGGAGCGATACCTGATATAGATAAGCGCGGAGCTGTGCTAAACCCGAAGAGGGAATCCCCGGACAGAGATTACCTCGCTCACTCTTGCTCACGCTTTCAGTTCCACATATTGGTTCAATGGATTTTGATAAGTGCAGTTGGAGGGGTATGGGGAGATATGGAGTAATTCTTGCGGGCCATGTCACAACTGCAAAGAAATCATCCACGCACCCTTCCCTTCGTCAAGTCATTATTTCTTCCAAATTTTCTACCACTACCCTCTCCTTGCTCTCGTTATAGTAGGCCCGGCACTCCTTCCATGTATATTGTTTTCGTACCGTATCCTCAATCTTATCACTCTCCGGATACCTCCGCTGAATCCGCGCCACGACATCAACAAGATCGCTTTTCTGAATCATAGCAGCGATTCGTAACCATCCCCTTGGCTCATCCCCCAAACAAGATGGATACCTCTCAATGTACCAAATGAGATACACGTTGCAAAGTGCCACAAGAATCTGGGCTGCAGTAACTGTATAGGCAACTGGTCTGACAACGAATAGCTTCGTTACGTTAATGCTTTGCACAGCTCTGAGTTCCCGCTTTTCCGTAGATTCGAAGAGTGCTGTTCCGGTTAGAAAAGCGAACATTGCGGCAAATGTGCGCTCCATGGATTCAATAAGTGTGGTGCTGTTGAGTACTGAGGGCTCAGTATTGCTATTAAGTTTCTGCGCATATCCAAACACAGCACGGCCGAAGACATCGGTGTAGAAGCGGCCCGTTGGATCGAAGGCTTGGTAGGCAGGTAAGCCTCGAACAAGAGCTTGGTATTCGGTAGCGTCTATTTCCGTGCTATTGGCTGGTACTGGGTGAAATTCAAACCGAGAGGGAATGCTGGATTGAAGAGTTACTGTCAGATTTCCATGGGTTTTCCAAAAGGAGGGGATGCAGGAGATGGCAGTGACATTCCAGGCGTTTGTGTTATTGTTTGGGAAGCCACCAGCTAATAGACCGATTCGCGAGTTGTGGGCTTTATTGGAGCATGTATCTGTACTGAAAGTCCGGGCGAATATTGTGTCAAGTAAAGATAGCTCCAGGTGTGAAGAACCATTAGAAAGAGGAAGGCGCTGTGTTGGTATTCTGCAACCGCGGTCGTTCATGTCAATGAATAGGAGGTTGCCATCGCGGTATACGTTTGCATCGGAGGTTTTCAGTTCACAGGAGATATAGCCTGAGAATCCGTCGATTGCTGCCGTCACGTTCCCGGACTGGATAGAGATGTTTGAGAGTGGTTCAAAAGCATACTCCGATGTTATGTACGGTGGAGGAGTGGCTCTGTGAACGAGAACTGCGCCTGCTTCGTTAATCGCTGGCTGTGCATCGGTTTCGGTGGTGAGCAGGGATACATTAAAAGCGCTGACAATATTGACTGATATGTTGCTGTGTACCGGCAAAGTTGCGGGAGAGAATAGATATGCGGCAATCGGAATTATGAAGATCGACAGGATCTGGTTTAGCACCATGCAAATCCCCAGAAACCAGTGCCTGTTTTTGAAAGCAAAAGCCCAGCTTATCAGCGATGCATAAGACCGATAATCTAGCAGGATTGAGCGATCCATCCTCACTGCCTTTTCTTTTGATTTTCGTAGTTCGACGTATGGTTGTCGTTCTGCTGCTGCAGATACGATCGAATCCCAAGCTAGGCGATTAAGGACCATAGCGAAGGATGGAAGTGTTGTCCAGAGAAGTCCTTTATTTGATATGATGCCATTTACGGAAAAGGGGGGAAATGTTGTGTTAGAAGAATCAGAAACTTCGACGAGCCCACTTCGTGTCGTAGATATCCGCTCGATGGTTAGAATTGCGACGATGAGTGTGACATTAAGAAGAAGGACAGTGCATGTCCAACGTTTTCGTAGACTCCATGCTTTCCACTCAACGAATGTTGCTTTAGATCTTGATTGTTCCATGCCTGTGTTGGTCGCTGTGCTGTTGAATAAAGTAGGGCCAACGATGATATAACTGCGGGTCGCCTTGAGTTTGGAACTAGTTACTAAAATTAAGTGCCTCGTAGACTCGGGATTGCAGACGTGTAGTACCCTACCATGTCTGAAATAGCGTACGGAAGGTGCCGCGGAGATTCCCGGTGGTGAAAGTTGTCTTAGGTGGTTTCGCCCGAAAAACGAAGGCTGAAGTGCGGTGTAGCGACGACAACCCAATCACTTCCCAGGATATTAGCCACAAGCAGCACTACTTTAATGCCGAGACACGGCGCCAGCAAGATTTCCTCAGCTTGTTTGAAAATTAGAAGTATTGCCAAGTTAATTGACAAATATGTCCTTTGTGATGCGTATCATGGTTCAAGACCACAGGATTGAACGCGCTAGGGCGTTACTCCTAGCGAGGACTATTTCTACGGTAGCAATCTATGATGTTAATTTAATGGAAGAACAATTCTCAAAAGCACTTCCGAAACAATATTATTCATCAACAACGAGATGTCACGCTGCTCTTATTCCATTCTCCCACTTCTCTCCTTCTTTATCCTCTCTAGGGCTCAAGACTACACCCCAGTCCCACAAACATCCTGCCTGAACCCGGTCGCTCAAACAGCATCCGACTACGGAAAATGTAGCTCTTTAGTCTCCGAATTCGCACGGTGTAATAACTCAGTCTCGACCAACAAGCCCGCAGCCGCATCGTGTATCTGCCGACAGGAAATGCTGAACGGAATTTACGAGTACACTCCTCCGAATCTAGTCTCCAGAAGAGAGAAGATATGAGATTAACAATTCACAGATGCGAAAACGAGTCAAATTTCTGCAACGGCATGAACAACGGTGACACCTGGAACGATCTCGCGGATAGCTGGCACAGCGCGTGTGATTCACGCATCACATTTAGTCCAACAACACCAGCACTGTCGACATACTCTTCCATCGATATCCTCGCATGTAGTACAGCCTGGGACGGCTGTATTAGCCAGTCAGCCGAGGTAGTCAAATGTCGGACGTTTTCGACGCAGGAAAGCCAATTGACCTCATGCATGTGTCGACCGGCTGTGCTTTCGGCAGCTTTTACTTGCAGCTACTATGCCAATGTTTCCTGCCAGCTGGTGCCTGCAACTTTGTCTAATGTCGCGGGGTACGAATATTGTAGCGGGTTTATGGATGTAGTCGGTGTATTAGCGAATGTAAGTCAGAGGTGTAAATGGAATGCACCGCTAATGCAAATCAGGCAACACCGACAGCGTCTCAAGCGCCGATCACGAGCCTGACAACAAGTCTTGTAGTAACGAAGCCTGCGCTGCCGGGGTCATCGCACTCTGCTCCAGGAATAGTAGCAACGACGAAGCCTTCATCGTCGACCAGGTCTGCACCACAATTTTCACTGCTCGCAGGGTCAATGTTATTGTCGTTTCTCCATGTTGGATTTGGTCCTGCTTTGAGATACTGATGAAGAGTTTGTTGGTCTACTGATATTGTTGGGATACGCACAATCTTCTCTCTTTGTGCAAGCTCCTCATTGTCGACTGGAATCGCATTCAATTGGATTTCAAGAATAAATACATAATCTTGACAGAGTCTCCTATTGACTTGCTTTGATCATATCAGCAGCCTATGCACATATTAGCGGTTTCAGTATCTAACAAGTCAGTAAACTAACCTTCTCGGCAATCATATAAACACTCTGCTGTGTGTTAGCCCCTGGTAATGTTGGCATTATACTTCCATCCACAATTCTGAGCCCCTTCGTTCCATGCACCCTCAATTCCTCGTCCACCACACCTCCCATCTCTTTTGGCTTCTTCGCCGCTGTCGCAATCGGATGGAAGTTCGTCGGGATCAAGACACTCTTAATCCACTCCTTCAACTCATTTCCCTCGACATTGATTCCAGGCCCAGTCTCTGTGGGTCGGGAGGCAGCAAAGGCGGAGGAGTTCATGAATTTGCGCATGTACCGAATATTTTCGACCATGATGTCGAGGTCGATGGGGTTAGAAAGGGCGCGATAATCGACGATGGGTTCGGCATCGGGGTTGGCCGGATCGATGTTGATTGTGCCGTGGCTGACAACGTGCATGCTCATTACGATACCGCCGGGTTGACCGAAGATGGGGAGCCAGAGCCAGTTGGAGTTAGTACTTCGAAGTAGCTTAGCGTGAAGCTTTTGGAAGGCTTTGTAACCGGCGATAACGGTTGGGTGGGTGTTTTTGGGTAGGTATTGCGCAGGATCTTGGGCTTCGTAGCGAGAAGCAATTTTCTCAAAGTCATCGGTCATCGTTGGAAGGCCGATCCAAGCTCCTAGGTTAGGACCAGCGATAGAAGATGGGTTGCCGGTTTGAGTGATGTTCGGCCCAATCGGGCCGCTACCATTGCCCCCTAGAATATTCATGAGCATGAACGACACATTGAAAGGAGGTTGACTCTACATTGATAGTTTACAGCCAAGTAGGCATGATCTTGGAAGTTCTGGCCTACTCCCGGGAGCTCAATGAGTATGGGTATCTTAGCTTGGGTGAGTAAGTCCTTGGGGCCGATTCCACTGTTCTGCAAAATTTGAGGGGTGTGGACTGTTCCGGCGGAGATGATGACTTCTTTCCTAGCCCTCGCTGTTAAAGTCTGATTCGTGTCTCTGGGACTGAACTGGACGCCTGTAGCTGTTGTCCCATCAAAAAGGATCTTCTTGACCTTGTGCATAGTGATGACATCATAGTTGTCTCTCTTAATATTGTCGTAATGACCAGTCCGAGAGTATGATCGCCAGTACTTTTGATTGTCCATGGATGTTGGGAACCAGAAAAGTCCGCTTTTTCCGCCTGCTCCATCTTTGGGAATTGGCATCTTCGGCATCTTCGCCGCAGCGTTGTAAAATGGGACTGGAGTTTGTCGTCAGTTTTTGTGGCCAGTTTCGAGCAGCATTGTAGGAATCCTTACTCATGACAGGCTCCTCATAGTTCGGATAAGATGCATAAATGTGAGTGTCCGGATCCTGTCCCCAGACTTCTGGGTCCCACGTGATGTTGAAGTTCTTTGCTAGCACCTCGTCCGGCGGGTTGAAATGGCTCGCTTTCTTAAAATATGGTAACACACCATTCCAATCCCACGTTGACTTAGTACCACCAAGCTCAGCCCATCCATCGTATTCAGGTTTCGTCCCTCGGACAAACACCATTCCGTTAATCGCAGAGCTTCCTCCAACACAGCAGCCTATTCTCACTTGCTGTTCTCTGTTGTTCATGTCTACCTGTGGGATAGAGCTGATGTTGTAGCTGATACCAGGGTCAAGGAAATTTCGGCCATTGCTGTTTTTGATGGTTGCATCGGAGACTGCGCTTCATGAGAAAAATGCACGACTATAGTGAGGAAACCGGACGACCTACTCGGGTAGCAGTACTCGATAACCAAAACAGAATCTGACTTACTGTCAGTGCTTTCAGGATTGTCTTGGTTAGGGTCTCACATTTCCCATCGGCTGTTAATCGATCTGCCAGAGTCAGACCCGCAGTTCCTGCACCAGCAATGATGTAGTCATATGCATCTCTGACTTGAGTTCCCCTCTGGAGAATATTTGCGTAGCCAAACCTCTCAGCTGTCTCCGCCGGAGCAGCCCATGCAGTGGTAAGTATTGTTGCAAGTGAAATAGAGAATACTCTGGAGCCCATGATGAATCGTGGTTTCAAAGTGCAAATTCGGGTTAATGGTGATGCTAATGCTTCAACGCCGCCTAGAAACCATAGAATTGCCAACTATCAGGCGCCGGCAACAAGCACACAGCTTCGGGGAAAGCATACCTCTTATGGAAGACTTCATGCATCGCGAGACATTTTCTCGGGAGGATTAAGCCTGGTACTGGTGTATTAAGATATATCAATTCGCCTCACCGGGATAAATATCTGCGAGAGAATATGTTGATTTGCCGGTTCATATACGGCTTTTGAAAGTATTTAGACGCGAGGAAAGTGGCATTTGTCATTATGCTTTAGAATGAGTATCATGATTGGCGAAAGAGGTCGAGGTCACCGTTTTTGCGTGGCTGCGTCCCCTGCAAGCATCCACGTGTGATGCCGGGTAATGAGGCCAACGGTTCCAGATTTAGCCTTTTGAGCAGGGCCAATAGCACAAACGCTTCCCAAGAAGCGGCAGGGATTCCCCACAAACATGCTGGCCATGGTACTGGGCAGTGAAGAAGACGCAATTCTAGAATCTAATCTCGCCTACAGTCGATCAGGACACCCATTCCGAGGGTGTGGACATTGGCTGAAGGGACATTTGTCAAAATTCTTCTACATGTTGGGGAAATAGAGTGATCATGTGTAGCGTGTACATTTCTCAGACCCATAATAATATAGAACGGCCGGAAAGAGAGAATGGCCGCGAAGTGACTCGGTGGGAGCTCGGCCGGTGTCTGCCTTAAGCAAATCAGCATGCGTTGAACCTCCAGAACCACGCCCAGCTTCAGCGATAGTGACACTCCCTACGCTGATATAGTTCCTATTCCGTCTCACTCCATGTATCAAGGTCTGACGTTATACTCGGCAGAGGGTCGAGCTGCGTGGAAATAATTCGGGAGAAGCTAGTGGGAGGCATGGCGACTAGAGGGGAACTCGTTGCTCACTATCGGTATACAGCGATCAGCAGGAATTCATTCGAGGCGCAGGAGCGACATGTGAGAGTTCCGCCATATTGTTAAGCACTGGATACAGCTGAGCTTGAGGCTGACAAGGGAGCTGAATAAACGCTGACTAAGCCTGCCAAGACCCATCAATCTTATCTCAGCTAGCTCAGACGGCATGCCAAGAAGACACTAGTACACAAATAGTATAGATACTTTCAGACCCCTGCTAGGGCTTCTTCCTTCTTAGCTGCTGTCTGAGGGACTTTAGTGCAGCGCAATGTGTGCAAAGCTTTGTCTATTAACTTACTAAAAACTTCTATACAAGATACTATTACACACAGCTTATTATAGCGCCTATAATTAAAATTAATTACTTAAAAAGTATATATAATTTACTTTAAACTATTTTTAAATAAATTTCTAACATTTTAACTATAAAAATTATAGGCTTAGCATTACACATATTCTAACACGCAACTGTTTTTCTTAACTCTATTCTCTACTAGTCTATCTACTTATGTTTAACTATTAATAATAGCTAAGATTAACTAACCTACCTTAATTTAGCCTCTAGAACACACTCTTTGTTTTAAATAAAGCATACTAAGTTTAAAGGCTGCTGCATAGATTTAAAATAGTAACATATAGTATAAGTAGAATAGTCCTAATCTATAATTAAGTTATTTAGTAGATGCATAAGTGTTACCTAGTCTAGTAAATTATAGTAAAAAGTGTGCTTATTATAATTAAGTATTACTTATTAAGCGTTACTAGGCACCTTATTAATAAGACCCTAGGTTCTTTGCTAGAACACTAGAGAGCGCTATACTAACAGGAATCTAAGCTATATAAAAAGAGATTATGCATATTTTTTTATTTAATAAAAATAATAATATTCTTATAACTATTTATATAGTTATAGTTTAATGTTAGAAACTGTGTAGTGTTAGCTTATAAAAGCTTTTTATTTAAAATACTCTTTTCTTTTTACTTAGTAGAAGAGAACTACATACTAAGCAGGTCTATGTTGTCTAACACTTTATTTTTAGTTTAGGTAATATAATTCTAGTTATAAAGACTAGGTTTAGTAAGAGTATTACGCTGCATATGTATTTAGTAATAATAGGGTATATAACACTTTAGATTATCCTGTTATTAAAGCTTAAAAAAAATAAAAATAAAAAATTATAAAATATTTTAAAGCTTATTTATACTTTATTACTATAAAAATAAAGAATTTTAATCTTAAACTTTTTAGTAAAATTTTTAAAAAACATTATACATATATTTTTTTTAGCTTTAAGTAAGTAATTTTTTTAGTGTTTTATTATTTTTTTTTTATAAGTAGCTTTATAGACTAAGTCTAACTAGTTATAATTAATAAGTGCTATGTTATTTAGTAGTAGTGTAAATTTTAAACAGCATATATCTAGTTTTATAAGCTTTATTAGATAATATGTTCTATAACTCTCTTCTTTATATGTACAGTAACCTTAGATGCTGCAACTAAGGCCTAGCTTTTTAAAAGTAGATGTTTTTAAGCGCTAGTAACTAGTAATAATAACACTCCTATGCAGCTAAGAATTATACGCACCTCTGTTAACAGGCTAGAGATTACTATTAGAATTGTTCTAATCCTAACTAGCTACTAGACATTATATAACTAGCTTCTAAACTATATAGATGTAGGAATTAATGTAAAAACATTATAAATTATCTTCTTATATATTTTAAAAATAATTATATTTTTAAATAAAAAAAATAAAATTATTACTTTAGCCTAGCTTTTTTAAAGTTAACTTTTAAAAAAAAGCTATCTACTTATAAATATTTAATTAGTGTTAGTAGTATATATAAGGCATATGTTAAAGTTTAACTAAGCTTAAATATATGCTAATTTTTTAAAGGACAAGTCTCTAATCTAAGTTACTATTACTATAACTATGCTTAGAATAGGTATAGATCTGTCTAATGTCTAGCATGTTTATTAGTAGTTAATTTTAATTATAGATAATATTAAAGACTTAATCTAGCAGTTTAGTTATAAAGTAAGAAGACCTAGATAATATATAACTACTATACTATTTATTTTATATTATGCCTTTAACTGCCTTAGAAGAGGGCTAGTAGACTACTTTAGATTAAAGTAGTTATAAAGTTAGTAAGCTAGTAAAAAAAAAAAAAGTTAATATAAAATAAGTTAGTATTTATTATTTACACTTTATACTATATCTACTATGTTAGACTTGTCTAAGGGCAATTACTCTAACTATACTAGCACACTAGTAGGGACAGTAAAAAACTAGGCAAGGTAGGGAATATTAGCTAGTTAAGATGTGTAGGAGTAGGTCTAGTTAGCTTATTATAAACTACTAAGCATATTAATAGTGCTAGAATAGTTAAAAGCAGAGCTTTAGTTATATAAAAGTATCTACTCTAAGTAGTTAAATCTAATTATATTAAAGTGCTACTAAAAGTTTATTTTTTAGTATTTTTAAAATAAGCTTATAATTTTATTAACTTAGAGTCTACTTTTACTACTAAAAAGGTGCTGTACTAGCTGTAATCTATTTCTAGTTAAAAATACTTAAAAGCTAAGTCTAGTTACGCAGCTAACTGCGCCTTTTTTAAAAGCTAAGGCTAAAGTTACCCTTAAGTAAATCTAGGTTAAATATAGTAAAGTAGCACTTTTTATTTATATTAGTAATAAAAACATATTATAAGGGCCTAGTTTTTTTATATTTATAGTTAATAAAGTCTTTATTTTACTACTTAAATCTATTTTTATACTAGTTAAGTTTTAATAAAAATTAGCCTATAAAGTTAGAAAAGCTTAAAATGCTATAAAGTTTAGTATAGCATTTACTTAAAAACACTTTCTTAATACTAGTATTCTACTATAGTAGTAATATTTTAACATATATAGGCTAAGCTTCTACGCCTTTTTTTATAGTATTATAGATAGTGTTTACACGCTTTATTAGTAACAGTTCTTTAAGTAATATATAAAAAAAAAAAGTAATAAAGACTTATTATTAAATTTAACTACTTTTTAGTAGGGTAGTACTTTTTCTACTCTCTTAAAACTTGCTTTAAAGGATAAAGACAACTAAGTTATGTTACAGGCTATGCACACTTTCTAATTATGTGCAGCCTATTATAAGTGCATTTATAGGCAAGTAGCAGTTACTGCTGTCTCTGTAGGCGTCTTGTCTGCAGAGGAGGCGCCTGTCTTTATTAGCCCTGCAGGTCTATGTCTGCTGTCTACATTAGAGTTGTCTACTATATTATGTTTTATAACTGCAGATATGTTGTTTTTATTAGCATATATACTATTAAATTCTCTGTCTTTACTTAATGTTACTATGTAGTATAATAATAGCAGCTAACTTAGTTTAGCATTTATAACTAAAAGCGCTTTTTTTTATCTTTATTTATTAAAACTTTATTATGTAGATAAGTGTTATCTAATATTACTTCCTTAGCTATAAATATATAGTTACATAGAGTCTAATCTAATAGTATATTATAAAAGTAGTGTAGGTCTTAGCTTACTAAGAGTAAAGTTAGAGAAGGACTAGTGCAGCTATATTAAATAAGGGATTATAGTAATAGTAGAGTATAAAAAAGTGTATTACTAACTCTAAAAGCATAGTGTTTAGGGCTATTTTAGTAGTTATTTTAGAGAGAAGGGCAATAAAGGTTATTGTGCAGGTTATAGGGCTTATCTAGGCGCACTAAAAGCAGGTTAGCTAGCGCTAAAAGTAATAAATAGTATAAGTTAGTCTTAATTTAAAACATAACATAGTTTATTATTTAAAGTAAAAAAAAGTAGTAAAAGTAATTAAGTGTAGTAATTTAATTAATAAGTTTTACTAAGTAACTTACACTATAGTAGAGGTTAGCAGCAGAGAGCGTAAAAGAACAGAGGACAGTTAAGCGCGCTAGTCCTAGTGTTTTATAGTAAGGGCTGCGACCTTTCTAGATTAGGCAGTCTATAATATTAAGCACGTATGTTATAGCTAACGTCTATTCTTGCATTTATAA